TATGGTCAAAATAATGCTTTTATTTTTAATGAAGAACTGATTGCTGATATTCCTATTTTTATCATATCAAGTTGTTTATAGTTGTGTCAAAGAACTATTTTACTAGAAAATTTAAGAGATTAACAACTACATACCTTACTTTACAAAGTTAATACAGGTGGAAGTGATAAACAAAATTAATAAAGGAATGCTAATTATTTGAAGGGATAAGTTACAGACTATTTTAAGATTCTTAAATTTCGAAAAGAACTAATAAGTTTTCATGATTTGGCTATCTAAATATGTAAAAGAAGATTAATAAGGACAAATGTTTTGAATTGTTTTAGAGTGATTATCTTAAGAAGCTTAAATTGTACTCTAAGTGTACTCTAGCTTTGTGTTACTCTTTCAATTTATTTGTACTTATATAAGTAATTCATGATTACATACATTTTGTAAGTTGCCCAACTGTATAACTGCCATTAAGATTTTTGTTTTGTTTTGTTTTACGCAGGATCTCGCTCCGTTGCCCAGGCTGGAGTGCAGTGGAGCAAACTTGACTTGCTACAGCTCTGACCTCCTGGGCTCAGGCAATCTCTTTCCTCAGCCTCCATATAGCTCCATATGGGACTAAAGGTGCCCATGTCCAGCTAAATTTTTTATTTTTCTGTAGAGATGGGGCCTCACTTTATTGCCCAGGCTGGTCTCAAACTCCCGGGCTCAAGAGATCCACCTGTCTCCACCTCCCAGAGTGCTGGGATTAGAAGTGTGAACCACTATGCCTGGCAGTGCTGTTAAGTTTTGTTACCCAAAAAAAATCCAGAGTTCCTTTGCCTATCAAGTAACAAATGACTCCACAAGAACACATATCTTGATCAATAGATGTTTTATTACTTGTCACAAGTAAGGAGAGCACTGGGCATATTCTCCAAAGCAGTGGCTCTCTGAGGGAAAGTGAGAGGAGGATTTTATGGGGCGATGGAGAGGGAAGAGAGGGTATGTCACTGCATATAGAGGAGGGGTCCCAGTGGTGCACATACAGTGAGTCTTTATGCCTGGGTGTAGGTCACATGCTATGGTAGTGAAGCTATAGCTTCTCCCAGGATGGAGACTTTAGCATGGTAATGAGGAAAGCTCACCCTGGTTTATCTGTGAGTTGCTAGGGTCTGTGAGGAACTGGTTCCAGTCATCTAGTTGATGCATTCTACACAGGGTTTAGGCAAAAATAGGCTACAAGGCAGGAGGTTATAAAACAGGCCGATTGTTCAAGTTGATTAATTCCTATAGTCCATGAAGACCTTGCTGTCTGCTTATAGCTTGTTGAGTGTCTTTTCAGACCTTTTTCTTCCATCCATTTACATACATTAATACATAGACTAATATGTAAGGGTTCTTTTCCCTCAGCACAAGTGATGTAATATGTATTGGTCTGCAAGTCTTGTTTTTTGTTTTGTTTTTGTTTTTTTACTTAATGTATTTTGAGTCTCTTTCCATACATTTTCATAGCACTGGTATGTCTCTGTTTATCTAGAGTGCAATGGCGTGATTTCGGCTCACCGCAACCTCCCCCTCCCGGGTTCAAGCAGTCCAATTGCCTCAGCCTCCCGAGTAGCTGGGATTACAGGTGCCCATCACCACGCCAGGCTAATTTTTGTATTTTTAGTAGAGATAAGGTTTCACCATGTTGACCAGGTTGGTCTCAAACTCCTGACCTCAGGTGATCCGCCCGCCTCGACCTCCCAAAGTGCTGGGATTACAGGCGTAAGCCGCCACACCCAGCCCAATTTTTTCAATTACATCAATTTCTAGTCTTTTAAATCTTATTATAAATACCTTGTAAAATTTATTATCTTTCTTTAATATGGACAATCACTGTAATCAATCTGTTTTCCATATTAGAGTTTTTGCGTATCAGGTTTTCTTAAAGTAAGCATCATGCTGGTGTATCAGCATATGAGTGCTTTAGGGCCCAAGAGTGAGAATAGGCATATAGTTGTTACTCTTCCTAGTTGAGCGTTGAAGGAGATCATAGTGGACTGTGTGTGACTGGTGAGAATAATATCACAGGATAACTTTCAAAACAATAAAGTGAGTCACCTCCTGCCCCTTCAGTGGCTTTACACTACTCTTCACATAGTAACCAAATACCATCATATAAGTTAGAAGATCCTGTGTTCTTTGGTCCTTGATGATTCTTTTTTTTTGAGACTGAGTCTCGCTCTGTCGCCCAGGCTGGAGTGCAGTGGCGCAATCTCGGCTCACTTCAAGCTCTGCCTCCCAGGTTCATGCCATTCTCCTGCCTCAGCCTCCCAAGTAGCTGGGACTACAGGTGCCTGCCACCATGTCCGGCTAATTTTTTTGTATTTTTAGTAGAGATGGGGTTTCACCGTGTTAGCCAGGATGGTCTCAATTTCCTGACTTCATGATTTGCACACCTTGGCCTCCCAAAGTGCTGGGATTACACGTGTGAGCCACCGCGCCCAGCTGGTCCTTGCTAATTCTTTAGTCTCATCTCATACCTCTTGCTGTCTATTCTGTGTTTTGTTTGGTTTTCGTTTCACTGTTGTTTTTCTTTTTTTTAGCTCCCCATTTGTACTATATTCTTTTTTTTTTTTTGAAAAGGAGTTTTGCTCTTGTTTACCAGGCTGGAGTGCAGTGGCGCGCCCTCTTGGCTCACCGCAACCTTCGTCTCCCAGGTTCAAGTGATTCTCCTGCCTCAGCCTCCCAAGTAACTGAGATTACAGGCATTGTGCCACCATGCCTGGCCAATTTTGTATTGTTAGTAGAGACGGGATTTCTCCATGTTGGTCAGTCTGGTCTCAAACTCCTGACCTCAGGTGATCAGCCTGCCTCCGCCTCCCAAAGTGCTGGAGATTACAGGTGTGGGCCACCGTGCCTGGCCTCATCTGTACTATATTCTTTCTAGTCTCAGAATCTATGGTTATGCTGTTTCTTTACCTAGAATCTATATCACACATATTAAACATTATTCTTCCCTTAACTTTCATTCAGCAGTCATCTTCAAAATCTTTCCATAAATATCACTTAACTGTACATCAGCTCTACCCTAATTTGGTCAGGTTGCCTCTGTTATATATGCTTGTATCTCCCTATACTTCACCTACATATCACTTACCATAACTTGCAATCATATATTTAGTTGTGTGATTGCTGTTAATATGTTTAGTGAAAGAAACAGTGCAAGCTCCATGTGGACTTAGAATGACTTATAATTTTTTATCCCTAGTACTGAACACATAGTAAAGACCAGTAAAACATTTTTGTGTCATCTAACTAAATTTAATTTTTCCTGGGAATGGAATAGTATTTCTTTTTGTTCTTTTTTCTTTTTGTTTTTGAGATGGGGTCTTGCTTTGTCACCCAGGCTAGAGTGCAGTCACGTGTTCGTGGCTCAAGGCAGCCTCAAACTTCTGGGCTCAAGTGATCCTCCTACCTTAGCCCTTAGCTTCCTGGGTCGCTGGGACCACAGGTGCATGCCACCACGCCTGGCTAATTTTTGTAGAGACAGGGTCTCCCTGTGTTACCTAGGCTGGTCTCAAACTCCTGGGCTCAAGCAATCCTCCCATCTCAGCCTCTCAAAGTGCTGGAATTATAGGCATGAGCCATCACACCCAGCCTGAAAAATTTGTATGAGTCTGTTGAGATTGTGGTATAAATACAGAGGAAACATATGTTTGTGTAGATTGTTTCTACTTTTAAAATATTCTTATGTTGTCAAAAGTTTTTTTTTTGTTTTGAGATGGGGTCTCACTGTGTCGCCCAGGCAGGAGTGCAGTGGTGGATCTCGGCTCACCGCAACCTCCACCTCCTGGGTTCAAGCAGTTCTCCTCACTCAGCTTCCCGAGTAGCTGGGATTACAGCCACGCACCACCACGCTGGCTAATTTTTTATATTTTTGGTAGAGATGGGGTTTCACCATGTTGGCCAGTCTGATCTCGAACTCCTGACCTCAAGTGACCCACCCGCCTCAGCCTCCCAAAGTGCTGGGATTACAAACCTGAGACACCGCGCCTTGTCATCAAAAGTTATTTATGTCTTGGTCGTTAATTCTTCCCTCCCTCTACCCCCTTCCCCAACAAAGCTTTTTTTGCTTTTTTTTTTTTTTTTTCTGAGACTGAGTTTCGCTCTTGTTCCCCAGACTGGAGTGCAATGGCAGATCTCGGCTCACTGCAACCTCTGCCTCCTGGGTTCAAGTGATTCTCCCACTTCAGCCTCCTGAGTAGCTGGGATTACAGGCACCTGCCACCACGCCTGGCTAATTTTTGTATTTTTAGTGGACATGGGGTTTCACCAGGTTGGCCAGGCTTGTCTCGAACTCCTGACCTCGAGGAATCTGCCCGCCTTGGCCTCCCAAATTGCTGGGATTACAGGCGTGAGTCACTGTACCCAGCCAAGATTAATTTTTAGATATATTTATTTTTTAAAAATTAGAGATTTAGCCGGGCATGGTGGCTCACACCTGTAATCCCAGCACTTTGGGATGCCGAGAGGGGAGGATCACCTGAGGTCAAGAGTTCGAGACCAGCCTGACCAACATGGAGAAACCCCCTCTCTACTAAAAATACAAAATTAGTCAGGCATGGTGGCGCATGCCTGTAATCCCAGCTACTTGAGAGGCTGAGGCAGGATAATTGCTAGAACCCAGGAGATGGAGGTTGCACCATTGCACTCCAGCCTGGGCAACAAGAGTGAAATTCCATCTCAAAAAAAAAAAAAAAAAATCAGGGACTTAGATAAACTTAAGAGACTGGGGTCCTGGATGGAACTTTATTACTACAAATCTCCTCTCAGGCAGGGGACTACTTCCCATCTCTAAAATGAGGGAATGGAACTAGATGTTTTATCATGGCTGTAATTCTGTAAAAGTGTAAAAAGATGGATTACAGTAATACAAATGTGGTATAAAAAGTTGTGAAATAAGACTGGACTTGTGGTTCTTTTTCAACAGTTTAATTGAAAAGAAAGACACTCAATTTTTTCCCTTTTTCTTTGTTTTCCAGGTTATATTTCACACTATGTGCTGACTGTATCTACAGAAGATATTTAAAAAAAAAAAAAGATAAACTTTTTTTCAAAGATTTTGATTCCAGTGGAATCTTTGCTTTAGATTTGCGTGTGTGTTTGTGTTCGTGAATTGTAACTCCAGAAGCAATGCCTGTACAAGCTCCACAATGGACGGATTTCCTCTCCTGCCCAATTTGCACTCAGACTTTCGACGAAACAATTCGAAAGCCCATCAGTTTGGGTTGTGGCCATACTGTCTGCAAGATGTGCCTGAATAAACTCCACCGCAAGGCTTGCCCATTTGACCAGACCACTATCAATACAGACATTGAGCTCCTCCCTGTGAACTCAGCATTGCTGCAGCTCGTGGGTGCTCAGGTAAGATGGGTGACTTAATACTTTTAAATTTCTCTCTCTTTCTCTCTCTCTGTCTCTCTTTCTCTCTCTGTGTGTGTGTGTGTGTGTGTGTGTGTGTGTGTGTGTTTTGCGTGTTTTTCTCCTGAGAGAAACCTGTTGAATTAAAATTGGGTAACATTGCCTTCTATTTAAATAGGTATAATTCTATTTGGTACTGTAAATCCTTTATTTCAGCATGTTAGATTTATTGTGGTAGTCCAGTGCTTTTTAGTCATAGTACAGTAGCATCCATTTAATCTTGTCAGATATTCAATAAACCTAGCTATGCAAATCACTAGAGAAACCTAAGGCCGGGTGTGATGGCTCATGTCTGTAATCCCAGCACTTTGGGAGGCCAAGACGGGTGGATCATTTGAGGTCAGGAGTTTGAGACCAGCCTGGCCAACATGGTGAAACCCTGTCCCTACTGCAAATACAAAAAAATGAGCTGGGTGTGGTGGTGTGTGCCTGTAATCCCAGCTACTTGGGAGGCCGAGGTACGAGAATCCCTTGAACCCAGGAGGCGGAGGTTGCAGTGAGCCAAGATCGCGCCACTGCACTCCAGCCTGGGTGACAGAGTGAGACCTTGTCTCAGAAAAAGAAAAGAAACCTAAGAGGTAAGTCATAAGGACCTTTTTTAACATTGAGAAAACTATTGTTCATAAAACCACTGCACTTTACTCAGTAGTGAAGGTGCAGCTGCTTCAGGCAGTTTTACTCAGTAGATATTAACTGAAATGAAAGATGAGAAAGGTGACAAAAACTATAGCACAACGTTTGGGAACCATTAGAACACACTTAATGCTTTATAGACTCAAAAATGGTTAAGATAGTAAATTTTGTGTTATGTATATATTATCACAATGAAAAAGATTTCCTAAATTTTCCTTTCATCTAAAAGGAAAAAGAAAAAATAAATTTAAATTAGACTTTAAAATATATCATCACCAATTTGTCCTAGGAATGTAAGGTTGATTTAACATCTGCAAACCAATTAATGTAATTCACTATATCAGTAAAAGTTGCAAAATTGCACACATATGATCATCTCAATAGACACAGAAAAAGCATTTGGCAAAATCCAGTACCTTTTCATAATAAAAGCACTGAAACAACTAGGAAAAAAACTTCAACCCAAAGGACATGGATGAAAAACCCACAGCTAACATACTGAATGGCGAAAGACTAGAAGCTTTTTCTTTAAGATCAGGAATGAGTTAAGGATCTCCACTCTTAACTATTTCTGTTGAACATCATACAGGACCTTCTAGTCAGGGCAATTAGGCAAGTAAATTAAACCAATGACGTTCAGATAAGAAGTAAAAAATAAAAACAATCTCATTCACAGATGGCATGGTCTAATATATAGAAAATGTTAAAGAATCTACAAAGGAAAAGCTATTAGAAACAAAAAACTAGGCAAAGTTGCAGGATATAGGATGAATATATAAATATCAGTTGTCTGAAAAAGCAAAAGTGTTTCTAAGGTGTAAAAATGTGTTTACAGTGTTTCATAATTTCTTTCTTTCTTTTTTCTTTACTCTGTCATCCAGGCTGGAGTACAGTGGCATCATCTTGGCTCACTGCAATCTCCGCCTCTCAGGTTCAAGTGATTCTCGTGCTTCAGCCTCCCAAGTAGCTGGGATTACAGGTGTGTACCACCATGCCCAGCTAATTTTTGTATTTTTAGTAGAGACAGGGTTTCGCCACATTGACTATGCTGGTCTCAAACTCCTGGCCTCAAGTGATACACCTGTCTCGACTTGCCAGAGTACTGGGAATACAGGCATGAGCCACCATACCCAGCTAGTGTTGCATACTTTCATCCATATAATACATTAATAATAGTTTTCTTACACACATAAGACTTTCTGGCACATAGTAGGCCCTTAATGAAGATTTGTTAAATAAATAATATATATGTTGTATTTCTATACACTAGCAATGGACAATCTGAAAATAGAAATCAATTTCATCTACAAGAGCATTAAAAAAATATTAAGAATATATTTAACAAAAGAAATGTAAAATTAGGCTGGGTGCAGTGGCTCATGTCTGTAATCCCAATAGTTTGGGAGGCCGAGGCTAGCAGATCTCTTGAGGCCAGGAGTTCCAAGACCAGCCTGGCCAACAAGGTGAAACCCCATCTCTACCAAAAAAATACAAAAATTAGCCAGGCGTAAAGGTGCCCACCTGTAATCCCAGCTATTTAGGTGGCTGAGGCATGAGACTTGCTTGAACCCGGTAGGCAGAGGTTGCAGTGAGCTAAAATCATGCTACTGCCCTCCAACCTGGGTAACAGAGTGACTCTGTCAAAAAGAAAAAAAAAAGTAAAACTATATTTTGAAGACTACAGATCATTGTTTAAAAGAAACTTAAAACTTGAATAAACATTTACTCATATTAACTCAAAATGGATCAAAGGCTAAATATAAGAACTAAAACTACTAAACTCTTAGAAGAAAATATAGACGTAAGTCTTCATGACCATGGAGTAGGCAGTGGGTTTTTTTAAGATATGACACCAAAAAGCACAAGGAACAAAAGAAAAAGATAAGTTGAACTTCATCAAAATTAAAAACTGTGTTTCAAAGATATGAACAATTGGCCGGACACAGTGGCTCACGTCTGTAATCCCAGCACTGTGGGAGGTCAAGATGGATGGATCGTTTGAGACCGGCCTAGGCAACATGGCAAAACCCCATCTCTACAGAAAATACAAAAAAAAAAAAAAAAAATTGCTGGGTATGGTGGCACATACCTGTAGTCCCACCTGTCTGTGAGGCTGAGGTAGGAGCATCACCGGAGCCCAAGAGGCCAAGATGGATGGATCATTTGAGACCCACCTAGGCAACATGGCAAAACCCCATCTCTACAGAAAATTAAAAAAAAAAAAAAAATTGCTGGATGTGGTGGCACATGCCTGTAGTCCCACCTATCTATGATACTGAGGTGGGAGCATCACCTGAGCCTGATCACCAGATTGAGGCTGCAGTTGAGCCTCGATCACAGCACTACTCTCTAGCTTGGGCGACAGAATGAGACCGTATCTCAAAAACAACAGTGACAACAAAAAAAAAAGATACCAACAAGAAAGCAAAATGAACAACCCACAGAATGTGAGAAAACAATTGTAAAATCCTATTTCTGATAAAGACTTACATGTAAAATATATAAGGAACTCGTACAACTCAGTGATAAAAAGACAACCCAATTTTTAAAATGGACAAAGAGCTGAACAATCACCTCGTCAAATAGATTATACAGATGGCAAATCAGCAAAATGAAAAGTAGCTGAGCAGTTTGTCTTTAAGTAATTGCAAATTAAAGCAAGTGAGAAACCACTACACACAAATTAGAATGACCAAAATCCAAAACATTAGCAACACCAAATGCTGGTGAGGATATGGAGCAACAAAAACTCTCATTCTTTTGGAAATGAAAAATGGGATAGCCACTTTGCAAGACAGTTTGGCAGTTTCTTTACAAGCTTAACATAATAGGTATTTACCCAGTTAACTTGAAAATTTATGTCTACACAGAAACCCGCACATGACTATTTATAACAACTTTATTCATGATTGCCAAAAAATGGAAGCCGTTGAGATATCTTTTAATAGGTGAATGGATAAACAGTGGTATATCCATGCAACGGAACATTGTATAAAATGAAGTAATAAAAAGACATAGCTGTCAAGTCACAAAAAGACATAGATACATCTCAATGTATATCATTGCTAAGTGAAAGATACCAGTATGAAAAGGCCACATACTGTATGATTCCAATTTTATGATATCTGTAAAAGGCAAAACCATAGCAACAATAGAAGTATCAGTGGTTGCCATGGATTCAGGAGTAGGGAGGGAGGATTGAATTGGTAAAACAGTATTTCTTAGGGCAGTAAAGCTGTTCTTTATGATTCTGTAATTGTGGCTATATGACACTGAATTTGCAAAAATTGTAGAATTTTACAAAGATTATGGAAAACAATCTGAAGTATATGAAACAATTTCACTAAAGGGGTGGAGGAGAAAGAGGATTGTGTAAGATTAAAGATAGAGGAAGATATTATCTATAAGCAGTGTACTCTAGTCTTTTCCCACGGGGGTATGAATTCTGATACTGCTGTATATATAATACATATTAGAATTGAACAGTTAAGTAAATGAATGGCAAATGGTTGGAGCCAGTTTACAGATAAGCAAGGAGGAAGAGGTTAGAATGATTCATGTGGTAATGGATTAGAGTTGGAGGCATCAATATGAACTCATTTTTAGCTTGATATGGATACAGATAGTTATATACAGAAATAGATACGTGTATATCTCGGGTTATTACACTGACATATATCCTTGCTCTGTCATCTAAGATGGCCTAGAAAGAACAGCACCCCAATAGCAATGTGTATACATAGCATTCATATCTTGGTTTCTAATACCATTCTCCAATAAAGGGAACCAGAGTTCCTTGGAGAAATGGCTAATTCTAAGACTGAGACAGGAAATACACAAAATGAGTCTGGAGTAGCTTGTAGCACTGGAAAGTATAGAGAAGTATTCAAAACACACACAGACACATACACAGAGTAATGGGGGCTATATCAAAGGCACACAGGAGCCAACTGAAAGAGCTCTCAGTGGCCAAAGCTAAAACAGTTTGAACAACAAAATAAATGGAATTGGATTATAACCCAGGTATAAGATAAATATCCTTGAGTCTACATGATAAAATTAAATGATTGAATAAATAAATGGAAGAAAGAAACAAATCTCCCATGCAGAATTCCAAGTTAATTACATAAATATTCTGCTCTCAAGGATGGAGAGTGTGTGTGGGCTATGCATAGTGACTCCTTCCAAAAAATACAGTTTGGAAGGTGGGAGATTATGGAACTTTATAGTGGAGAAACCTGGTAAACACTGACTAAACCAGCTGATCAAATTTAACATCAGCAGTAATAAGTCATGTTGGTGGTTTGTAGCTTTGATGTGCTGTGATAAAAATGGTAATTTTCCCCTATGATCTTCCAAAAATCCATAACCACAGTATACTCATGAGAAAAATGACAGATCCTAGATCCCAGTTTAGGGGCATTCTGCAACATACCAGACCAGTACTCCTCAAAACTGTCAAGGTCATTAAAACAAGGAAAGTCTGAGAAAGCTGTCCAAGCCAAGAGGAGCTTAAAGAGACATGGAAGGGCCAGCGCAGTGGCTCACACCTGTAATCCCAGCGCTTTGGGAGGCTGAGTTGGGCAGATCACTTGAGGCCGGGAGTTGGAGACCAGCCTGGCCAACACAGTGAAATCCCATCCTACTAAAAATGCACAAAATTAGCTGGGCGTGGTGGCGCATGCCTATAATCCTAGCTACTTGGGAGACTGAGGCATGAGAATCTCTTGAACCTGGTAGGTGGAAGTTGCAGTGAGCCGAGATTATGCCACTGTACTCCAACCTGGGCGACAGAGTGATACTTTGTCTCAACTTAAAAAAAAAAAAAAGGGAGAGACATGGAGGGAGAGAGGGAGGCCAAGGTGGGTGGATGGCCTGAGCCCAGGAGTTTGAGGCTAGTCTGGATGATGTAGTGGGACCCCCATCTCTACAAAACAATACAAAATTAGCTGGGTGTGGTGGCGTGTGCCTACAGTCCCAGCTACTCAGGAGTCTGAGGTGGGGGATCACTTGAACCTGGGAGGCAGAGGTTGCAGTGAGCCCAGATGCTGCCACTGCACTCCAGCCTGAGTGACAGAGCAAGACTCTATCTTTGAAGACTAACTGTAATACGGTATCCTGAATGGGATCCTGGAACTGAGAAAGAACATTAGTTGAAAACTAAGGATATCTGATTAACATATGGATTTTAGTTGTTAATTATGAATATGTTGATATTTGCTCATTAATTTTAACAAATGTACCATACCAATGTAAGATGTTAATAATAGGGGAAACTGTTAGCTGGGCGTGGTTGCTCGCTCCTGTAGTCCCAGCTACTTGGGAGGCTGAGGCAGAAGAATCACTTGAACCCAGGAGGCGGAGGTTGCAGTGAGCCAAGATGGTGCCACTGCACTCCAGCCTGGGTGACAGAGGGAGACTCCATCTCAAAAATAATAATAATAATAATAGGGGAAACTGAATACAGGATAATGAGAATTCTGTGTACTATCTTTGCCACTTTTTTGTAAATCTAAAACTGTTCTACAAAATAAAGTTTACTGGGCAAAATGGGTAAAAGATCTGAATAGACATTCCTCCAGAGAAGATATACAAGTGGATAATAAGCATATGAAAGGATGGTCAACATCATTAGCTATCAGGGAAATACAAATCAAAACATAATGAAGTCAGAGGAAGGTAGATGGGAAGAAGAGATAATTATCAAAGAATACAAAGCTTCAGTTAGACCAGATAAATACCTTTAGTGATCTGTTGCACAGAATAGTGACTATAAATAGTAATACATTGTATGTTTCAAAATTGCTAAAAGAGTAGATTTTATTTAAAATCTACAAAAAAAAAAGTGAGGTGATGAATTTGTTAATTAACCTGCTTTAGTCATCTCATGTTGTAAACGTATCAATCAAAACGTCACGTACCCCATAAATATATGCAATTATTATTAATTTAAAATAAAATTTAGAAAAACCACAATGAATTACTACTTTCCACCCAACAGGATAGCTATAATAAAAAAGATAATAATAAGTAGAAGAATTATCTTTCTACATTAAATGTAGAAGAATTGGAACCCTTATACACTCCTGGTAGGCATATAAAATGCTACTCTGCTTTTGGAAAATAGCTTGGCAGTTTTTCAAAAGGTTAAATACAGATTCCTAGGTATATACCAAAGAGAAACAAAAACTTTTGTCCACAAAAACTTGTACACAGATGTTCATAGCAGCATTATTCATAATAGTCAAAAATAGTCTGTCAATTGATGATTGTATAAATAAAGTGTGGTATATTTATACAATGGAATGTTATTCAGTGATGAAAATGAAGTACTGATACAACCTGGAAGACCTTTGAAAACATTAAGTGAAAGAAGCAAGTCAGAAAAGACTATATATTGTGTTGATTTTGCTTGTATGAAATGTCCAGAATAGGCAAATCCATAGAAAATAGATTCATCTTTCCAAAGGTTGGTGGATGGTTGGGAAAAAATAAGGGGTAATTGTTAAAAGGGTACTGTGTTTCTTTTTGGGCTAATGAAAAGATTCTAAAGTTCATTGTGGTTATGTTTGCACAACTGTGAATATACTGAAAACCATGGAATTGTATATACTTTATTTTTATTTTTTTATTTTTTTTTTTTTATTTTTTTTTTGAGACGGAGTCTCGCTCTGCCGCCCAGGCTGGAGTGCAGTGGCCAGATCTCAGCTCACTGCAAGCTCCGCCTCCCGGGTTCACGCCATTCTCCTGCCTCAGCCTCCGGAGTAGCTGGGACTACAGGCGCCCGCCACCGCGCCCGGCTAGTTTTTTGTATTTTGTAGTAGAGACGGGGTTTCACCGTGTTAGCCAGGATGGTCTCGATCTCCTGACCTCGTGATCCGCCCATCTCGGCCTCCCAAAGTGCTGGGATTACAGGCTTGAGCCACCGCGCCCGGCCGGAATTGTATATACTTTAAACCAGTCAGTTGTATAGTATGTGGATTATATCTTAATTAGGCTGAGAAACAAAACAAAGGAATGCAAAGATACATGTTAATAGGAAAGATCTTTTGAAAGAATTCAGTAAATTTAGTGGGTGTTTTGATGTTGCCAGTGTTAGCATTATGAGTGCATAAACTATGCTAAATAAAACATTTAATTAATGAATCGAGCACTCATACAGATCTTTTCTTTTGGCCTCCAGGTCCCTGAGCAGCAGCCTATTACTTTATGTAGTGGGGTTGAAGACACAAAGCATTATGAGGAAGCTAAGAAATGTGTAGAAGAATTAGCATTGTACTTAAAACCGCTCAGCAGTGCTAGAGGTAAGTTTGTTTTTGTTTCTTATTTAGAGTAAAATTGCTTTTTTAAATACTCAGTACATAATCCTATATATTATAAGTCCTGAGGAATTCCCAAAAAACCTAACTAGAGGTAAATTTGATGCAATTATCCATACTGAGTAAATGTCTACTAAAGAAACTTGTTACCATAAAAATTGTGAGCTATTAAGCGAATGTTAATGAAATTTACCAATTGTAAACTAAACTCATTTTGTGCTAAATATCATTACACAAACCACAGCAAATAAAATAGTGAATTTTGAGTTTATGTGATGATGGAAACATTATTTGAATGATCATAAAAGCAAATGTAACTACTTACCTCGGAAGTGCTTTCCATCATTTGACAACTCTGAATGGTTTGCCTTCTATCCAGTTTTATATGCTATGCTATAGGTGGTATAATAAATATGGAAGTTGCCATTTTTGCACAGAAAGGGCTTACTATTTAATTAGGAAAGTAAAATTAACCCCTCTGAAATAATATACCAGAACTCTTGGGACCTCAAGATTTAGATTATAAACTAATTATCAATGTTGTCTAGTCCTTTTTTCTTTCTTCCTCTATGATAAAAATGAGTAATGGTATATTTAACGTCATAATGAATGTTAAGTGCACATGAGATAACTCATGTATACATTTGTATACTTTAAAGATATATACATAAGTAAGCTTTACGTGTGTGGTTTTATTTGTTGTTTCTTTTAAATACTGTTGTCTATTCACATACCCACAAGTTAACCCAACAGAAAAATTGCTCCTGGACTTTAAAATTGCATTTTGAACCTAGGAATAACTTCTTTCCTCATTTAAAGGAGTGGGTCTGAACAGCACTACCCAGAGTGTTCTGAGTCGCCCAATGCAGAGGAAACTTGTGACTCTAGTCCACTGTCAACTAGTAGAAGAAGAAGGCAGGATTCGTGCTATGAGGGCAGCTCGATCTTTAGGTGAACGAACAGTTACAGAGCTCATTCTCCAGCACCAGAATCCTCAGCAACTCTCTTCCAATCTTTGGGCAGCAGTAAGGGCTAGAGGATGCCAGTTCCTTGGACCAGGTACATAATTAAGTTTTGGTATTTATTCTGCTGGTAGTTCTGAAATTATGATGTAGGAATTCTAAGTGATGTACAAAGCCTAGTTCTTTGCAGTATTTTATTGTTACCAACTAATGTCTTGTTTGATGTTCATGGCTTGGGCAATTCCACATAACTTAGTGGACTTACTAAGTGAACTTAAAACTTTTCTCTTAGTGCCAAAAGTTGTTTCTTTTTTAAAGTTTTTAAATTTTTCCTTTTTTTCACACCTGTAGCAGGAAGTTCATTCATTTTGATAGAAGTTTTTCTTAAATGTATTAATCACTTATCTGTTTTCTTTATAAAATATATAGAATGTAATACAAAATTGCCCACAAAAATGGTGTAAAAGTGTGTTGCTGGTTAATCTTATTGTATTGCCAGTTAATTGAGTGAATAGCTGCAGAAATGATTAAATATTCCCCTTCTAATAAATGGATTTATCTTATCTATGTACTTGATAAATTTTGGTTTTGCCCAACTTTCCCTAGCAATGCAGGAGGAAGCTTTAAAACTGGTTCTGCTGGCCTTAGAAGATGGTTCTGCTTTGTCAAGAAAAGTATTGGTTCTCTTTGTGGTGCAAAGGTTGGAGCCACGATTTCCTCAAGCCTCTAAAACTAGCATTGGGCATGTTGTTCAGCTCCTTTATAGAGCCTCCTGTTTCAAGGTATGAACCTACATTAAAGCTCAGCTTGAAAGGAAGCATTGTTATTTCCCCAAACTTAAGTAGTAAAACTTTGAGTTTAATAAAGTTGCCTGTGTCTTTTCAGGAAATTTCAGCAATTTTTCTGTATTATTTTAAAGAATGTAGATGGTGTCTTATTATAGTTAAATCCTATTATATTGAGTTTTTGTATGTTTGATATTGAACAACATAGATCAAATCAAGGTTTGTAGATTTTTGTATTCGAAGAGACTAAGAAACTATGTCAGTTTCTTACCAAGACTGTGCAGAATTGGTCTGAAGACAGAGTTACTGAAGCACAAATAAATTTTATTTATTTATTTTTATTTTTTTGAGACGAAGTCTTGCTGTCGCCCAGGCTGGAGTGTAGTGCACGATCTCTGCTCACTGCAGCCTCCACCTCCTGGGTTCAAGCGATTCTCCTGTCTCAGCCTCCCGAGTAGCTGGGATTACAGGTGCCCATCACCATGCCCGGCTAATTTTTGTGTTTTTAGTAGAGACGGAGTTTCACCATGTTGGCCAGGCTGGTCTCAAACTCCTGACCTCAGGTGATCTGCCCGCCTCAGCCTCCCAAAATGCTGGGATTACAAGCGTGAGCCACCGTGCCCAGCCAAATAAATTTTATTCAGAGATTTTCTCCTAGTGTAATTCCACATATGCAGTAATGAAGTTCCATTTGCCATTTCAGTCTATATGGTAATGCTGGACATAGTCTCTTATCCCAAATTGAATAAGCACCGCCTCAAACATTGCTACTCACCATGTATCATTTATTGTTCATCCAGTATTATTTTTCTGACTTTTTTTTTGAGATGCAGTCTTGCTCCGTCACCCAGTCTGGAGTACAGTGGTGTAGTCTTGGCTCACTGCATCCTCTGCCTTCTGGGTAAAGCAGTTCTCCTGCTTCCAGCCTTCTAAGTAGCTGGGATTACAGGTGCCTGCCACCATACCTGGCTATTTTTTTTTTTTTTTTAACTTTTAGTAAAGACAGGGTTTCACCATGTTGGCCAGGCTGGTCTTGAACTCCTGACCTCAGATGGTCTGCCCACCTCGGTCTCCCAAAGTGCTGGGATTACAGGCATGACCCATCACACCCAGCCTATTTTCCTGACTTTTAAAAATCAAACTGTCTTGATTCTGACACAGCTTATAACCAGTACTTGAAAACCGTGTCTTTAAAAAAATTAATTAATTCATGCTAGCTGTAAGGAAATCCATTCTCAGATCACCACATTCTTGTTATCTGACACTCATAAACTAAAAAAATGCCACATTAGCTATCCTACTAAATTCTGTTCTCTCATCCTTTGAGAAGGAGGAAATGGTTTACAAAATTAGCAGAAGAGCATATAGATTTCATTTAAACAAAATTTTTAAAGCTCTAGCTAAATGCTGGTCTTATTCTGTGTCTTTGTGGAGTCAGACTATATGTTGAAAATGGGCCTCTATTTTCTATAGGTACCACTGAAGCTGTAAGAACCTCTAGCTAAAATTACTTTAACTGGTCCAGATTGTCTCTGAATAACTCACTCTTGTTGTAGTGGTTAGAGTAACATGATTTTACAGTGCAGTTCAGAATACATTCTGGAACGTCTATCTGCTTCCATTGTTAATTGTTATCCATTAACAGCACCAGACAGATACAGTATAGGAAGCTTTGGAAAGAAAACATTCAACCCTCCCCTGTAAAGAAGAATACGTGACTCAAGAAAACCCAGAATACCCATGAAGTGAACCTCTCTGAACTCTAAAGCATTAACAGGAATATGGCCAGGCGCAGTAGCTCACGCCTGTAATTCCAGCACTTTGGGAGGCTGAGGTGGGCAGATCATTTGAGTTCGAGACCAGCCTCGCCAACTTAGTGAAAAAACCTGTGTGTACTAAAAATAAAAAATAATTAGCCAGTTGTGGTGGCACACACCTGTAATCCCAGCTACTGGGGAGGGTGAGGCAGGAGAATTGCTTGAACCTGGGAGACAGAGGTTACAGTGAGCCAAGATCATGCCACTGCACTCTAGCCTGGGTGACGGAGCAAGACTCCACCTAAAAAAAAAAAAAACAGGAATAAAGAAAATTGGAAATTTGTAAAAAGCTGCTTTTTCACTCAGGTCATGATTATTTTCCTTGCAGGAATATGTATCCATACAGCTGTATTCTGGCTGTGTCCTTTTAGTGTCTCCTGTATTTCCATTGGAAAAGCCTTTTGAGCTGCAAGATAATTTGTTCTTTCTTAGTAGAATAAAGTTCTGAGACTTAGACATTTCATCTCTTGGAAATCCTTGATTGTTTTTAGTTAAAGATTGAGTGGTGAGAGCCAAGTTCAAGGAACCATTGTTACATATAGAAAGCATACTTTACATTTTAATGAGGTTCAGCATATATTGAGGGAGTGCTAAACATATGCATTTGGTCTTTTGACTTGCCTTTTAATAATGGCACAATATATTCAGTTTTTGTGACTGTAGTTCTTGATTTTTATCAATTTGGTCTTATATAGATGTTCCTAACAAAAAGTAAGTTAGACTTTCTTCCTTGTAATAAGAATAGAATGCATTTATTTATTTACTTGTTTTTTGAGCGATAGAGTCTTGCCGTGTTGCCCAGGCTGGCCTTCAACTCTTGGGCTTAAGCAATCCTTCCGCTCAGCCTCAGTAGCTGGACTACAGGCACATGCCACCACTCACATTAATTTTTTATCAGTGTGACTTAGAAGTCCTGATTACAATATTTTGTAGTTTCTTTGGTGAGAGGGAAAAAAACAGGAATTATATACAAGAAGAATATGAGTCCTTATGGCAATAAAAGGTTAACAAGGTAAAACGTGTTCTGAAATAAGTTAGGGTAGAGGTTATCTTAAGCTAGACTTAATTATTTTGCTTTGATTTGTTAAGCATTTGGCCTAAATCCAACTTGACTCAGAATGTAAGTTATTGGGGTGATAACAGTACACCTGCCTCAACAAGAGAAGTCAATGAGTTAATCCAGTACTATAATGGTTAATAATATAATTTAATATATTGGCTGGCACATGCCAGGTGCTCAAAACGTGGTAGCTATTTTTATTACTAAATGATATTATTTAATCATAATCATTATGATTATTCTAGTCTAGCATCTCACACTTTACACTTTCTGGTAGTAGCCCATCCCACAAAACTCCATGGAGAATTAAGCCAAGTACAAATTAAATCATTGTTAGAGTTAAACCAGCATCTGAAGCTCTGCAGTCATCAATCCCAACTAGCTCATTGTCAGGCAAGCCCAAGAGTCATAATCCACATTTATGGAGAAGAAACATATTGTTTTTCAGAATATATAATCGTATTAGTGTTTTTTTCTTTTAAAAAATGCATATACACACATACACACCTTAAACTGCATGTATATGTTAAAGTCTGTCAAATCGTTGGATTTCATTCCAGCACATACAGATTGACTATACAAAAATCCAAAATCCAAAACTTTTTGAACACCAGCATGATGCTCACATGCTCATTGGAGCATTTCAGATTTTCAGAGTAAGGATATTCAAGTGGTTTAATGCAGATATTCCAAAATTTGAAAAAATCTGAAATCTGATAACACTTCTGGCCCAGGCATTTTGGATAAGAGATTTTCAGCCTGTATTTATTCTTTCTGAAAGACCTATCCAGAAAATGTTGGCCTAAATCCAACTTGACTTAGAATGGGATGATAACAATATACCTACCTCAACAAGTTGAGGAGAAAATATTTTGCAGGCAAATGGTATATTCATTTAATCTTGTTGTTGCTGCTAAAATTGTTACGTTAAAAATTATGTGTTCATATAAAGCATAAACTAATTTTTTTGACTTCATTATGAGATTATTTGTGTCTTATTAGGTCACCAAACGTGATGAAGACTCTTCTTTGATGCAGCTGAAAGAAGAATTTAGAACCTATGAAGCTCTGCGGCGAGAACATGACTCCCAGATAGTGCAGATTGCTATGGAAGCAGGCTTACGAATTGCACCAGACCAATGGTCCTCTTTGCTTTATGGAGACCAGTCTCACAAATCTCATATGCAGTCCATTATTGACAAGGTAGAACCTTTTTTGTTCCTTACTTCTTGGACTAATCTTGGCCTTTTGGTAATTCATTTAACAAATGTATATTAAAGTGAATACTGTATAGCTTTTGTAAATTGTAGTTATAGCCAGTGTCATGTCATAACCAATCACATTATAATACCACTTTGTTCGTATAAAGAGATGATTAGTTTATATTTTTAATTTTATTTATTTTATATTTTATTTTATTTTTACTAGAATCACAGAGATGATTGCTCACTCTAGAGACCACTCTACATTTAATTTAGAGAAATAGAGTCAAATAGTAAGAGTAACCTAAAAAAAATAATAATGAACATTTACTAAAATTTTAGTATGTATCTAGTGGTTTTAAATAATTCATTTAATCCTCTCAACAGCCCTGTATTATCCATTTTAGACAAAGACAAAGGGAAGTTAATATGTTTTTCCAGCATCACATAGATAGTAAATGACAGAAGTGGATATGAACTTGGGCATTCTCACTGTAGAATACACTAACCTTTTACCAAACTATTCCCCCCCCCGCTCCTTTTTTTTTTTTTTCTATTTCTAAAGATAGAATCCCTTGAATGGGTAATACAGTGAGAATTGGGAAATACGTGTTTTAAATGCCTGGTGTAGGGTGGGCACAGTGGATTATGCCTGTAATCTCAGCACTTTGAGAGGCCAAGGTAGGAGGATTGCTTGAGGCCAGGAGTTCGGGCACAACCTGGGAAACATTGGGACATTCATCGCTACCAAAAAAAAAAAAACCATAGCCAGGTGTGGTGGTAGACACCTGTAGTCCCACCTAGTTGGGAGGCTGTGGTGGGAGAATCCTTGAGCTCAGGAGTTTGAGGGTGCAGTGAGCTATGTGAGACCCTATCTCTTTAGGGGGAAAAAAAGGTGGTACATAATTTTTAGTTACAATGTAGGTTGTTTGCTCTGTCCTGTAAGTCTTCTCTGGATACCTTTAACCAGACTTTACCTGTAACTCTTAGATTTGGACAGGAGCTTGTATCTTAAGTTTTGCAACTGATTTATAATTTATGGAAATGCTTAGTAATGATCTATTAAAGGAGTACCTTTCTACCTCTGAAGAGAAACTTGGTTTGCTTTTTTCTTTTTTTTTCGAGACGGAGTCTTGCTCTGTCACCCAGGCTGGAGTGCAGTGGCACTATCTCGGCTCACTGCAATCTCTGTCTCCCAGGTTCAAGCGATTCTCCTGCCTCAGCCTCCCAAGTAGCTGGGATTATAGGCACGCGCTACCACACCCAGCGAATTTTTTGTATCTTTAGTGAAGATGGGGATTCACCATGTTGGCCAGGCTGATCTCGAACTCCTGACCTCGTGATCTGCCCACCACAGCCTCCCAAAGTGCTAGGATTACAGGCATGAGCCACTGTGCCTGGCCTGGCTTGCCTTTTATAAAGATTCTACAAGGTGGTTAATCTTCCTGTCTGAACTGAACTGGTAACTAGGTGTATATCCTACAATAATTTTCTCACATCACCCGCAGTGCTTTAAATTTAATATCCAGAGACCTTTGTACAACAAACTGGTAAACTTTGCGATGTGTGTGATATTTCATAGAGCAACAGAACTTTCTGTAATCATGAAAATGTTCTGTGTATGCACTGTCCAATATGGTGATCACTAGTCACACATGGCTATTAAGCACTTGAAATGTGACTTTTGCAACCGATGCACTGAAATTTTTATTTTATTTAATTAACTTAAATTTAAATAGCCACATATTGCTAAGGTTACCATATTGGATAATACAAAAGAGAATTTATTAAAAGTGATGAGAAAAGCACTAATTCTAGTAAATTAATGGAGAGAGAAACAGGAATTAACAATTCACAAAGATGACTCATCAATATATCTAACTGATGGGAGGCTGAATTGAGAGAGGTCTCACATTTGAAGAATGTGACAGCAGAGGCAATACAGTACACAATGTGCCAAGCTCTAGATGCAGAGAAGTAGAGAATTTATTTAGGTAGCAAGTAATCTAATCTGCCCAGAGTGTAGAGTGTATGGGAAGATAAAAATTAAATTTAATAAATTGTAAAAATGATTGTGATATAAATAATCTTTGTATTTAAAAGATTATCCAACCTTTGGGAAAGTTAACGTTTATCTTTTTTAAGTTGCAGACCCCAGCCTCTTTTGCACAGAGTGTTCAGGAACTAACAATTGCTCTCCAGCGGACTGGAGACCCAGCAAACTTGAACCGACTAAGACCCCATTTGGAGCTGTTAGCAAACATTGACCCTAGTCCAGGTAAACCCATGGGAAATTAATGGACTGTCTTATATGTGCCTTTTGTGCTGCTCAGTGATTCTTTCATTATCTTTTGTTCTTCCTCTAGGGTTTCCTAAAGTAGTTACTCCAGATCTTTTTTACAGTATTTTAAGTTTCCATTTTAAATATTTTCCCTCTTTATCTCAGGTTAGTTCACTTTAATATTTATTTAATACTTTTTACACTGTTGCTCATTTCGTCAGGAAAATAGATCTCTCTGGGCTTCTTTATGTTTCTTCTTTCTCCCATCACAAAATTGTGTTGTATTTTACCATTCTTACCTCTTCCAAATCTCATTTTTCTCATTTTTTTTTTCTGTATTATGTATCCTTAGTTGCATTTCCTTGATCCTGTTTTTGCCCTCACCATAATATCTTGTTCCTTCAAGTATCCTCTCTTGTATATGTTTACTTAGGCTTTTTCTGCTCCTTCTTCTTAAGCTGAAAATGTACCCAACCTTCATTTTTCACCTTATACTTACATCTAAGATATTTTAGCTTCTCTGTGTTTATTCCTACTACTGATCTGAAGCTCTCTTAATATTTGCTAGTAGGTTCCCAGTCTCTGATTCCAAAAACTTTGTCTTAGTCTTTAAATCACTCCCATTTGTTTTCAGCATTTGGATAATGTTGTTGAGCACTTTTTTGATATCTTTCTGTGATCTCATAGTTCTCTTCTGACCTGAGTGCTACTTCTGTCATATTTGTACCATGCTTTCCCCTCCTGCCCACTAAAGAGTAGGCAGGTTATGCTCTTGGGATTTTGTTTTCTCTACATGCTCTGATAGTGGTTATTCATTCTTAGCAGCAGGTATTACTTTCATGTAGAATACAGACTCCCAAATATCTGTCACTATTGTCTCTGCATCCATTCCAGATACATCTCCCAATGCTTGCTGAGATTTTCCATCATCTCCTCTGAGTGCTTCAAAGCAAGCTCATCATTACTTGATACTTGCTCTTCCTCTAATGTTTCCTCTTTCTGATAATGACCTCATTCTCTGAGGTATGTAAGTTTAAAACCTTAATATTTTGTCTTGCCTCATCTTTTCCTTTCACTTGTTTTACATACCATTTCATACAATAGGATTTATCTGTTCTTCTTTCACAATGTCCCTATATCCCCTGCTTATGATTACTTCCTTTGAGAGCCTCCTTTTCCCTGAGACTGAATGTCTTACAAGTTCCTCTACTGTGAGTTCCTCCAATCCAGTCTACTTACTGCTATAAAAGAAATCACATCCCTGATCTTGCTTCCACACTCATAAATTTTCATTGTTTGTAGAATTGCTCACGGAATAAAGTTTGACACTGATGACTATGGCATTCAGAGCCCTCTTAGTTTTTTATCAGCCTACTTTTATAGGTTTGCTCCTAAAATTGCTTAGTAAACCAGATCAATGTTACTAGAATATATAGTGATTTTTCCCCCCTACTGCTGTGCTTTGATCATCCTGAGCAGTCAAAAGAGAACTTCCACAAGTTCCTAATCCATTTTTGACCCCGTTTCTCATCTACCTACTGCTTCATTTCTTGTTTTGGCACTCTCTTGAACTCAACTCCAGTCAGGCATTTATCTCCACTGCTCTATCCAAGGTTGTAAACTACTTCCATGTAGCTAATTCCAAAGGTCAGCTCTCAGTTCTTACTGTACTTGATTTAGCAGCATTTAACATTTTATTTATTTATTTTTGGAGACACAGTTTCACTCTGTCCCCCAGGCTGGAGTGCGATGGCAAGATCTCGCTTCACTGCAACCTCTGCCTTCCAGGTTCAAGCAATTCTTGTCCCGTGTAGCTAGGATTACAGGCCTGCACCACCACATCCAGCTAATTTGTTATCATTATTTATTTTTATTTTTAGTATCTTTAATAGAAACAGGGCTTCACCGTGTTGGCCAGGCTGTTCTCAAACTCCTGACCTCAGGTGACCCGCCTGCCTCGGCTTCCCAAAGTGCTAGGATTACAGGCATGAGCCACCGTGCCTGGCCATTGTTCTGTACTCTCTCTTCCTTGAAATGCTTTTTTCTTGGCTTCTAAGCTACTAATTCTCTTCTTACTTTATTGAACTCTCCTCAGCATCCTCTGCCTTCTCGTCTCCATATCCTGTACTCTTTGGAGTGTTCTCAGAGTTTAATCCTATACCTGTTTCCTAGATAATCTTATCTATCTCATAGCTTCAAATATAATTTATATAACTCACAAATTTACTGTATTTTTATCAGTTTTGAGGTTCATAATTATTTCAGATCTTAGCATTTCTGAAATTGGAATGCATTTGTGTGAAGACATATTATAATTAACAATCTTTTTTTTTCTTTGGTGGCACATAAAGTAATATGCATTACAATTGATAGTCTTTTAGAGTTTGAAATATATATCCAGCCCATGCCTTTTTCCTGAACTTGCATATAAAACTGCTTTCTCGGCCAGGTGCAGTGGCTCACGCCTGTAATCCCAGCACTTTGGGAGGCTGAGGTGGGTGGATCACAAGGTCAAGACATTGAGACCATCCTGGCCAACATGGTGAAACCCCGTCTCTACTAAAAATACAAAAACTAGTTGGACGTGGTGGCGGGCCCCTGTAGTCCCAGCTGCTTGGGAGGCTGAGACAGGAGAATCGCTTGAACCCAGAAGGTGGAGGTTGCTGTGAGCCGAGATTGTGCCACTGCACTCTAGCCTGATGACAGAACAAGACTCCGTTAAAAAAAAAAAAAAAAAAAAAAAAAGCTTTCTCAGCATCCATCATCTTATATCTGATAAGCATTTCAAACTGAATCTATCTAAAAATGAGCTCTTCCCTGCCATCCTGTTTGTGGCAACTCTATCCTTCCAGTTGCTTAGTCCAAAAATCTCAACTCTTCTTTCTCTCATAATGTATATCTGATCCGTTAGCAAATTCTGTAGGCCCTACCTTTAAAATCCATCCAGAATCCATCTACCTTCACTGCTACCATTGCCATCTCTCAGGAGATTATGGAATAGCCTCCTGTTGTCTAACTGATTTTAGCAAAAGAGCCAGAGTGACCCTGTCACCCTCTGCTCATAAATTCTCCTATGGCTTTCTGTCACTCAGAGTAAAAGCCAAAATCTCTCCCATGATCTATAGGGTCTCGTGTGGTCTGGTCTTCCATTACCTCTCTCAAACCTCATTTCCTACCCTTTTTTTCTCTTAATTTCCTCTTCTCTGGTTCTATCTCCATGCAACATGCCGGGCACACTTCTCACATTAAGGACTTTGCACTTATTCTTCCCTCTAACTTGGATATTTTTCCCCTAATATCTCCAGTAGGCACACTTAAGCCCTTCTTTCAGGTCTTTAATCAAATGTAACCTTCTCAAGGAGGACTTTTCTGGCCTCTGTCTAAATTTTTCTTTTTTTCTTTTGAGACAGAGTCTCCCTCTATTGACCAGGCTGGAGTGCAGTGGTGCGATCTCAGCTCACTGCAACTTCCGCCTCCCAGGTTGAAGTGATTCTCCTGCCTCAGCTTCCCGAGTAGCTGGAACTACAGGCATGTGCCACCATGCCCAGCTAATTTTTTTTTGTATTTTTAGTAGAGTGCAGTGGCTCACGCCTGTAATCTTAGCTCTTTGGGAGGCCAAGACGAGCAGATTGCCTCTGTCTAAAATTTTACACATTGGCCCCACTTTTCTTAGTTCTATTTTTTCAATTCAACATTATCTAAATACTACTGTATATTTTGCTTATTTGTCTTGGTTATTATCTGGCTCTTCTCCTTGAATATAATGAGGATTTTTGTTTTAATCACTATTGCTTACCCAACAACTAGAACAATAACTCAGATTTAGCAAGTGTTCCAAAAACTACTTTTTTGAATACTTGTTCTCTTTACCTTTTTTCCTTTTCAGATTCCATGTGTCCTTCAAAGCCCAGTTCAAATGCCATCCCCTAGAATTCTTTCAGGATGTCTGAGCAGGAAGTTATCTCTGCATCTCTCTTCTAGTTTCATTTTATGTATTTCTTTTAAATAATATTTTATATTTAGCCTTATAGTTAATTTTTCTTTTATAAATCAAAGTGCTGGCATAGGGCAAATACCTACTAAATGAAGAAGACATGTAGCAGAGTTACTTTATATAATAGCTCTTCTATTAAATTTTTTTTTTTTTCTTGAGACGGAGTTTCGCTCTGTCACCAGGATGGAGTGCAGTGGCGTGATCTCGGCTCACTGCAACCTCCGCCTCCCAGGTTCAAGCAATTCTTTGTTTGTTTGTTTGTTTGTTTGTTTGTTTTTTGAGACGGAGTCTCGCTCTGTCGCCCAGGCTGGAGTGCAGTGGCCCAATCTCAGCTCACTGCAAGCTCCGCCTCCCGGGTTTGCGCCATTCTCCTGCCTCAGCCTCCTGAGTAGCTGGGACTACAGGCGCCCGCCACCTCGCCCGGCTATTTTTTTGTATTTTTTAGTAGAGACGGGGTTTCACTGTGTTAGGCAGGATGGTCTCGATCTCCTGACCTCGTGATCTGCCCGTCTCGGCCTCCCAAAGTGCTGGGATTACAGGCTTGAGCCACCACGCCCGGCCAGGTTCAAGCAATTCTCCTGCCTCAGCCTCCCAAGTAACTGGGACTATAGGCCCATGCCACCATGCCTGGGTAATTTTTGTATTTTTAGTAGGGACGGGGTTTTTTTTCATGTTGGACAGGATGGTCTCCATCTCTTGATCTCGTGATCCTCCTACCTCGGCCTCCTAAAGTGCTGAGATTACAGGCCTGAGCCACTGTGCCTGGCTTATTAAACTTTTTAAGCTTTTTGTTTACCAAAACTTGATTTATATAAAAGTTCAAAATAAACATGCAAATTGACTGACTACAGGCACTCCTCAGTTTTGTTTAGTCCACTCAGTGTTGGTCTGAGCAATGGTCTAAATTTCTTAGATGCCAGCATTTTAAAACTGAAAAATTTTTACTTAAAAATCTTAAGTTTCAGGTTTCCCTGGGAAACAGTGAATGTATTTGGCAGTGCCAGCCTTGCATTGTCACATAACAACAATCATCTAAAGCTGAGTTATAACCATACTCTTAGATGAGGGACACGCTCTCCAGTTCAGCAGTCCCTGTCACTCGCTGTTGTCTCCTCAACCCTAAGAGTCTAATGACAGTTACTACTATTGTGTGGCCTATTTACCTCTTTCTTGTTACCTTTCTTGTTCCTGTGGTTATTTCAGTTTGCAACCCCAGCTTTGAAAGAATATGTCCATTCCTTTAAAATGATGGTTAGGTGAATAAGCTATTATCTGAAAAGTTAAGGTGTGAAACTTGATTTCACTGAAATGTTGTCAACTAACTCTTTTATTAATTTGATATTAGGGAAAATATTGAGTAACATTAGAGTTTAAAACATTATTATTGGTTGTATAGATGCTCCTCCTCCTACTTGGGAACAGCTGGAAAACGGGCTGGTTGCTGTGCGTACAGTGGTACATGGGCTGGTTGATTATATCCAGAACCACAGCAAAAAAGGAGCAGATCAGCAGCAGGTAAGGAAGCTGTTTAAAACTTAGAGTTAATCCACTGTGGATATGCCTTAAAACTATAGGTAAACCACTGTGGGTATACCTACAGGTGCAAAGCCAAAAAGATGACATGAATATTTTGAGACTCTGACTATAGAAACTATAAATTACCTTGGCATGGTTAACAGTTTACTGCATTAGGCTGGTAATTTTATCTGACAATATTGACATTAAATAATCCTTATTGATCTAATATCATGCTGGGGTCAGTCTTCACATTGGATATGGCAGCATTTGATGGAGAATATAGATTCAGTGCTGAAGTTTATTCCTTTTATATAAAATTATTATTCTCTTTAGTTTGTATGACATTTTGGTTTGACAATAAGTATCACTTTTTAGTGCTAATACTGTATCTTTTCAATACTATTCAAATTTCTATAGATTTTCTTATTAAAATTAAAAATTTTTTTCATTCATAGTGTCTGTTATACCAGTGGGTCAACTTTCCCTCACAGTTTTTAGATGAAATACAACGGTAGAGTATAATAACTTCTTATAGCTAGATTTTTAAATTTTATTCCCAGTAATTTTATTTTGCTCTCAGGATTTATATTAGGTTCATTAGATCTTTTATTTTGCAGTAGTAAGCCTGTGAACTTAAAACTCTTAATTTACCTGGTTCAGGTGATTATTCAGTATTCCTTTTTGCTTAAGAGGCAAGAAATATAAAAAGTATCCTGCTAAGTAAAATAATCTGGATATGATTTTCCTAACCTATCTAACACAGGTCAAAGCTTTTATTTATGAATAGACATAAAAGAAAGGAGAACCTACAATTTTTAACTCTCTGTTTCATTAGACATCTTGAAGAAAATAACAAACGTAATGAGATTAACCTTTAAAGTCTGCCATATGGTGATAAAATACACTAAATTTTGTCCAGTTCAGTGTTGTGTCTCATATTTCATTAACTTTCAAATCCATCCTCTTGCCTTATCCTTGAGTTGTAGATAATATGTGTCATTTGTACTTCTGGAGATATTTTAAGTCCTTGGTATATTGTTCTGCGTGTCAAGAAGAATTAGTTACAGAATATTCTTTGATTTTAGGGCCTTTTGTAGTTTTTGTGGTGTGTTGTAAGGAAGCATACATATAGCTATATTGAACATTGTACAAAACAAATATTAGAAGATAATTTATATATTTGAAAGTCTTAAACTACGGTGGTTTGTTTTTTCATTATAAAATGTGGAAATGGGCTGGGCACAGTAGCTCACGCCTGTAATCCCAAGCACTTTGGGAGGCCGAGGCAGGCAGATCACCTGAGGTCAGGAGTTCGAGACCAGCCTGGCCAACATGGTGAAACCCTGTCTCTACTGAAAATACAAAAATTAGCCAGGTGCGGTGGTGGACACCTGTAATCCCAGCTACTCGGGAGACTGAAGCAGGAGAATTGCTTGAGCTGGCAAGGTGGAAGTTGCAATGAGCCAAGATTGCGCCACTGCACTCCAGCCTGGGCAACAGAGTAAGACTCCATCTCAAAAAAAAAAGTGGAAATGAGATCATAGTGCCCCCATGAGATTTTTCTTTTTCCATATAAAACAAGTGTAAGAATGCCCATGAAATTTATTCAAGAATTTATATGATGCTACTTGTTTGAGAATTAATATCAACATATCAGAAAAATTAGGACTACCTTCTTCTTGCTTTATTTATATTTGGACTTTGAAACTTCAGACGGAATGACTTTCCAGCACTTTTGCTCTTGGTAATCTAAATAAATATGTGAATTACTTATCTAGATTATCAAAATCCTAAAATGACAACACAAAATTTGTATTTTTTTGTGGGGGATTATTACACATCTAATATTTTGATTTTGGTTTTAGCCTCCACAGCATAGCAAATACAAAACATACATGTGTCGAGATATGAAGCAGAGAGGAGGATGCCCTCGTGGGGCCAGCTGTACGTTTGCACACTCACAGGAGGAACTGGAAAAGTAAGTGTGGAAATCAGGAGACTTTGGAATAAGGTATAAGTGGAATAATTTGCTGACATACAGAAATACAGGAAGAGTAATTGCTTTGTCTTAAATAAATAGGACATTTTTAGAATGCAACATAGCTTGAACATTCCTATTCTGAAAATCTAAAATGCTTCAATATCCAAAAATGCTTAAAAGCCAACTTGACACCACAAGTTGAAAATTCCACACCTGACCTTGTGATGGATGGCAGTCAAAACTTCATGCACAAAATTATTTAAAATAATGTATAAAATTACTTTCAGACCATGTGTAAAAGATGTATATGAAACATAAATGAATTTTGTGTTATATATTTGGGTCTTATCCCCAAGACATCTCCTTTATGTATATGCAAATATTCCAAAATCCGAGACAAATCCAGTGTTTGAAACACTTCTGGTCCCAAGCATTTCGGATAAGAGATACTCAACCTGTACATAATTTTTTAAAATGAAAAGCAGTTTCTTCAGCTTTTATTGCATCATGCCTATAGATAGGAAACTATTTTATGATTAGCTAAATCTAAAAGTGGGTTGTTTTCACGACCAAAAAAATTTAAATTCTAATAATTTTAATCAATTTTAACTTAACTAATTGCATATTGTATTTCCAATGGAAAAATTTGCCCTTGGCTCAGTTTAACAAGTTCTTTTAAACTTCAAGGACAAGATAATTTCAGGAATGTTAAATTTTTCAGCTCATTGAAGAAAGAAAGGAGAAGCCTCTTAATTTATTTTATTTTTATTTTATTTTATTTTATTTTATTTTATTTTTTAAAAATAGAGACAGGGTCTCCCTATGTTGCCTAGGCTGGTCTCAAACTTCTGGTCTTAAGGGATTCTCCTGCCTTGGCCTCCCAAAGTGCTAGGATTACAGGCAGGAGCCAACACACCCATTGCCTCTTAATTTGTTTATAAATCCAATGTAACACTTTTATTAAATTTGACAAAGATAACACAAAGAAAACTGTAAATCTATCACACGTATTAATATTAAAAATCTCAAAAATTTAAATGTAATTAAATAATACATTACAATAGATGCCATGTCTATGGGCATAATACCCTGAATCCACCTGAGCTCATCTGATCTTAGAAGCTAAGCATGGTCAGGCCCAGTTAGTACTTGGATAGGAGACTGCCTGGGAATATTGGGTGCTATAGGTGTTTTTTTTTTAATATAAATAATATAATTTTTTTTTTTTTTTTTTTTTTGAGACGGAGTCTCGCTTTGTCGCCCAGGCTGGAGTGCAGTGGCCGGATCTCAGCTCACTGCAAGCTCCGCCTCCCGGGTTTACGCCTCAGCCTCCCGAGTAGCTGGGACTACAGGCGCCCACCACCTCGCCCGGCTAGTTTTTTTGTATTTTTTAGTAGAGACGGGGTTTCACCATATTAGCCAGGATGGTCTCGATCTCCTGACCTCGTGATCCGCCCGTCTCGGCCTCCCAAAGTGCTGGGATTACAGGCTTGAGCCACCGCGCCCGGCCTAATATAATTTTTTTTAAAGAAAAGAAAATAGATGCCATGACTCTGCAAAATTAGTACAACATAATTATCACAACTTAGAAAATAACATGATCATATGCAAAAAATGTCAAAGGCTTTTGAATAAAATTGAATGTCAGTTAAAAATCAAAATTCCAGCCAGGCGCCAGTGGCTCATGCCTGTAACCCCAGCACTTTGGGAGGCCGAGGCGGGTGGATCACAAGGTCAAGAGATTGAGACCATTCTGGCCAACATTGAGAAACCCCGTCTCTACTAAAAATACAAAAATTAGCTGAGTATGGTGGCACACGCCTGTAGACCCAGCTACTCAGGAGGCTGAGGCAGGAGAATCTCTTGAACCCAGGAGGCAGAGGTTGCAGTGAACTGAGATTGCGCCATTGCACTCCAGCCTGAATGGCAGTGTGAGACTCTGTCTCCAAAAAAAAAAAAAAATCAAAATTTCTTAATACAACAGAAATAGCATACTTTCTCAGCATGGTAATAAATCATGTTGTAAATCAGAAGCCAACATAATAGTATGATGCTTAATTAGTAAAATATTCAATTCACTCTCATTAAAGTCAAGGATAAGGCAAAATTTTCTGCTAGTAATTAGTAGTAAAATTTTCTACTAGTATTATTTAACATTGTGGAAGTAGTAGCTAATGTATATAAGAAGGAATAAAATAGCCATAAAATTATTGGGAAAAAAAGTTAAAATTCAGGATCTCTTCTACTTTAGCAACAACAAAAAAAGATAAATACCAAATAATAGATTTGTAAAGAATAATCAGGGTGTATATAAATTGAACCAATAAATTACCTAGGAACATAAGAGAAATACTGAGTAAACATACTGTGTTCTTGGATAAGGTTTGACGCTATAAAAGTTTTATTTTTCCATAGACAATAAATTCCAAGAAATCCGAATTTAAATCTCACCATGATGATGTTAAGATCCTATCAAAAATTCACTTGTAAAGAATAAATATATACAAATAGCCAGGAAAATTCTGAAAAAGAAGTTTTTGACAGGAACTAGACTAATAACTATTAACCTATATTATGGACTTCAGTGAATGAAAGACTGTAGTCTTTTGCATAGGAATAGATTAATGAAACGCAATAGAGAATCTAGGAGGAGTCTGAGATGCATGTAGGAGCTTAGCATATGTGCTAAAGGTGGCATTTCACATCAGTGACCAAAAGAATGATGGAAAATAACTGTTACCTATTTGAAAAATAGAGCTGAATTCTTACCACAATCTTTATACTAGAATGAACTCTAGATGTGTAAGAGATTTAAATATTTAGGAAGAAAGAAACCACAGAGTAGTAAGAGGGTTTTTGTTTGTTTATTTTTAGTTGTTAAGGAAAGAAGGAAAATATTTTTTTAAGAACTACAACCCAGCATCCATAAAGGAAAAGATTGATAAATTTGGTTACATAAAAATTATAAAACTAAGATATGGTACAAATACAGTTTTTTATAAAGAGCTTGGTGAGGAAGTGACATACAGAGGGCTGATATCCTAACATAAAACGAGCTCTTACAAATCTGTAAGAAGGAGAGGAGCCAATAGATTTATGGATCATAAACATAGTTTACAGAAGAAATACTAATGACCAATTATCCTGTGAAAGTATGTTCAATCTCACTAGTTGTTAAAGAAATGCAAATTAAAGCAACTTAGTATATTTGGACTACCAAGTTAACAAAGACCAGTACTACCCAGTATTTGAGGTTTTGAAAGACGTTTTCCTTCATGATCAGTAGGACTTAAAATAGTTTTAGAGAGCAGTATGATATAAAAATTTCTAATTTGCATGCTCTTTGACCTCATTCTGCCTTTGCTTATTTGGTTATTTACACAAGGTGTAAGTACATGTTCATAATTATCTGTTACCTTTTTTATTGTTTGTTTATTTATTTTTTTTTTTTGAGACTGGGTCTCACTGTCTTCCAGGCTGGAGTGTAGTGATGTGATCATGGCCCACTGCAGCCTCGACTTCCAGGCTCCAGTGATCCTCTCACCTCAGCCTCCCGAGAAACTGGGACCACAGGTGCACGCCACCATGCCCAGCTAATTTTTGTATTTTTGGTAGAGACAGAGTTTTCCCATGTTTCCCAGGCTGTTCTGAACTCCTGAGCTCAAGTGATCCACCCACGTCAGCCTCCCAAAGTGCTGGGATTACAGGTGTGAGCCACTTCGCCCAGCCGAGGTTTTATTTTTGAAAATGAAAATGCATTAGCGGTTGTAAATGGGCTTGCTTTCATTGTTGAGGAACAAGGATCCTGGAGTCTGATGGCTTATATTTTTTCCTTTGGTTAGATTTCAGAATTGATGTGCTTGTTGTACCACAGCATCTGTTTAAACTTAGGCAATTATTCTGTTTTGGTTCCGTTAACCTACTTTTAAAATAACTTTAATTTTGTATTGGCAGGCATAACATCAGCATCTCTGCAGCAGTTCTAATAAAAGTCACTATCCTTAATTGCTTAAATTTTTTTTTTGAAACAGGATCTCACTGTGTTGCCCAGACTAGAGTGCAGTGGTGCAATCTTGGCTCACTGCAACCTCCGCCTCATAGGCTCAAGTGATCCTCCTGCCTCAGCCTCCTGAGTAGCTGGAACCACAGACATGCACCACCATACCCGGTTAAGTTTTTATATTTTTGGTAAAGACAGGGTTTCACCATGTTGCTCAGGCTGATCTCAAACTCCTGAGCTCAAGTGATTCGCCCGCTTCAGCCTCTCAGAGTGCTGGGATTACTGGTGTGAGCCACAGTGCCTGGCTGCTTAAATTTTTTAACAGAGTAAATGATAAATGTTTCACAGTGCATACTGGCTTTGTTTTTCTTTATTCCTAGTTTTTAACATTGGCTCATTTATCCCAAGGCATTTGAGGGACAGCTGAAGTAAAATATTTCAGAAACTATCTTCTAAAGATTTTTCTACTAGCTTCTCCAATAAGTTTTAGAAATACAAATGTCGGGCCGGGCGCGGTGGCTCAAGCCTGTAATCCCAGCACTTTGGGAGGCCGAGACGGGCGGATCACGAGGTCAGGAGATCGAGACCATCCTGGTTAATACGGTGAAACCCCGCCTCTACTAAAAAGTACAAAAAAAAAACTAGCCGGGCGAGGTGGTGGGCGCCTGTAGTCCCAGCTACTTGGGAGGCTGAGGCAGGAGAATGGCGTGAACCCGGGAGGCGGAGCTTGCAGTGAGCTGAGATCTGGCCACTGCACTCCAGCCTGGGCGACAAAGCGAGACTCCGTCTCAAAAAAATAAAAAAAAAAAAAAATAAAAAAAAATAGAAATACAAATGTCCACAGAAATATATTATAGCAAAAATATTAATAGCATATTTTATAATATGACAAATGTAACTCTTTTTTTTTTTTTTTTGAGACGGAATCTCACTGTTTCGCCAGGCTGGAGTTCAGTGGTATGATCTCGGCTCACTGCAGCCTCTGCCTCCCAGGTTCAAGCGATTCTCCTGCCTTAGCCTCCCGAGTGGTTGGGACCACAGGCACACGCCACCACACCTAGCTAATTTTTGTATTTTTAACAGAGACAGGGCTTCACCATGTTGGCCAGGCTGATCTCTATCTTTTGACATCGTGATCCACCTGCCTCGGCCTCCCAAAGTGCTGGGATTACAGGCGTGAGCCACAGCACCCGGCCTATGTTACACATTTTTATGAGGAATTTTATACTTAATCTATATTTCTTTGCTGCTTGGGATTTTATGGAAAATATACACACTGATAGAGTTAATGTTTTCAAGAGAGAATATTTCTAGAAAATAATGTTAAATACATTTTAGTTCTTGGTTTTGCTTTTATATTTGCTTTTTGATATGTGCCTATGCTTTTTATATAGATTTCGTAAAATGAACAAGCGCCTGGTTCCGAGAAGACCCTTGAGTGCCTCTTTGGGTCAACTTAATGAGGTGGGCCTGCCTTCAGCAGCTATCCTTCCAGATGAAGGTGCAGTGGATCTCCCTAGCAGAAAACCTCCTGCTCTGCCAAATGGAATTGTATCAACAGGGAATACAGTAACACAGCTTATTCCACGAGGGACAGACCCCAGCTATGATTCTAGTCTGAAACCAGGAAAAATAGATCATCTGAGCAGTAGTGCTCCTGGATCCCCTCCTGACCTGTACGTCATTTTTCCTAATTCTTTCTCAAAATTTCTTCTTCATAAAGTCAAAGGAAGAAAGAACAATTAATGTTTGGGATTTAAAACAAAAAACAAAAAAAACCCTGATTTTTATTTATTTATTTATTTTGGCCTTTATTTTGTTGTTTTTTTATTCCCCATGCTAGTGTGTTTTAAGAAACTATTAGCATAGCCAGGCATGGTGGCTCATGCCTATAATCCCAGCACTTTGGGAGGCTGAGGTGGACAGATCACTTGAGGCCAGGAGTTCGAAACCAGCCTGGCCAACATGGTGAAACCCATTTCTGCTAAAAATACAAAACTTAGCCAGGCATGGTGGCACATGCCTGTAACCCAGCTACTTGGGAGGCTGAGGCATGAGAATCGCTTGAACCCAGGAGGCGGAGGTTGCAGTGAGCCAAGATCATACCACTGCACTACAGCCTGGGCAACAGAGCGAGACTCTGTCTCAAAAAAAAAAAAAAAAAGAAAAAGAAAAGAAAAGAAACAACATGGGGAAATAAGATTAAAAATTGCACCTTTTTGTAGAAGGGATGACTATTAGAATAAGTGAGTTTCCCAAATTGTAGCAATCTTTTTTACTTGTAACAATTTATACACATGAGTATTTTAAAGATCTTAAACAAATTCCATAATATTATTCCCTTAGGCTAGAATCTGTTCCTAAGAGTATTTCTGCCTTACCTGTGAATCCACATCCTATACCTCCAAGGGGGCCAACAGATCTGCCTCCAATGCCTGTCACCAAACCACTTCAGATGGTACCTCGAGGTTCTCAGTTATATCCAGCACAACAGACAGATGTTTATTATCAGGATCCGCGAGGAGCGGCTCCACCATTTGAACCAGCACCTTATCAGCAGGGTAATGATTTTTTATTTATATTGCTCACTTAGGAGTTACCAGAACTGCTCAGGTCAGAGTGATCATTTTACACAGTAGCCTCTTTAAGATAGTAAATATATAAATGCATTTTTTAATACTTTGGAAAAATTGGATTTTTTGATCAACTAAATACTATCAAATAAATGAAACAAAGTAATAAAAATCAAACCGCCTTATCTACTAAAAGCAGTTGCATAATACATGTGTTCATATATAATATTTATGGAAATAAGTCACACAAGTAGGCATTGGAAATTTGCTGAGTAAGGCAGTATATATTCTGACCAAAATTTTCTTCAAGCATGACAAAAGAATTAATATTATAGTGGGTGTAAATTAAACACCCACAGTACATTTTTCTTCCTTTTAATTATTATTATTCTGGGGCCTGTAATATATATGAAAAAATGCAGCATACATACCTTTTGAGAGTTTACAGAATAGAATAAATAATGGTAAAGAATAGAAAACTATATGCATGAGTAGTAGATACGTGTGTGTGGTGTTTATGTATGTGTTAAAAATTAAGTAATCTGCTGTGGTGGTTAATATGAGTTTGATAGAAATTGACTGAAAGACTCAAGGGAGATCATTGAGAACTTGAGGAATCAAAAAGACTTAATGGAAGAAATGCCTCAAATGGAGGTATTTGGAATAGGAAAAAAAAAAGTATGAATGGATTGGAAAGATGAGAGTTGAGTTAGGAGGCTGTTAATCTTGGTGTGAGTATTGAGGAATTAGTGTGGTGGGAAAGAAGAAGGGATTTCAAAAATAGACAAATTTGAAAATTAGCCAGCTTTAATGATAATACCAGGTATGGAGAATGAAGGAAAGAAAATAAACTAATGTTTTACATATACAATTTATATGTAAAATAGACACTGAATGATTTTAAGTGTTGGATCTCTGTCAGAAGCAGTATAGTACTATAATTTTTAAAACGGGAGTAGATTAAAAGTGCTGTCTTCTTTTTCCGAGTCTGTCATTTAATTTTGAATCATATTGTCTTCTCTACTTTCATGAGAATGTTTTTTAATTGATACGGCATTACTAATTCATGCAAAATATGATAAAATGTGATTTGTATGTTCCTTTTGACCATCCATTATAGGAAAAATGCAACTATTTTTGTAGCCTGGTTTCAATTTTAGATAAATTATTTTAGCTATATTAAGCAGAAAGAGATTTAGTGCAGGAGTTAGGTGCCTGCCATATTGGTGGAGGTACTAAAGAAGCAAGCAATGCTCCAGAGCTAGCTGCCAAGAGAACTTGTTACAATGAGTAAGCAGTAGAAGTAAAAACTTCTGTCCTACTTAATTCCAAGATCACATCATTTGAGGCAAAAGTCTGAAAATTGAGAAACTATTGCCACAACTGGTGTCTCAAGAACTGCAGAGCCAAGCAGTAGCTACTAATCTGCACCAGCAAAACTGGCCTTTTGTGTTCCATGTCTCCCCCCAGTTATTTCAGTTTCAAATTCAAAACTCGTACAAGTGATTAATTTGTGTAGCCTGACTTCAAGGATATCTGGGAAATGTAGTTTTTTTTGTTTTGCAATGTCTTCATTTCATTAAGACACACCAAGAAAGAGGGTCAAACAATGAGAGCCAATCTAGTATTATAGGTTATAAGTAGGGTAGTTTTTTCAATGACTTTTACAGATAATTTTTGCTTGTTATTTTTTAAAAAGCTAACCTGATTATATAAGCAGATGGAAAACTTCTAAAGAAATAAGTAGATTATCAATACTTTAGTGTTTCAGTATTTTAAAAGGTAAAATCTTATATAGAAAACTAAATTGGCTCATTATTGCCTTTGGTTCCTCTTTTGTATTATACAGGTATGTATTATACTCCACCACCACAATGTGTGTCCCGCTTTGTCCGACCTCCACCATCTGCTCCTGAACCTGCTCCTCCCTACTTGGATCATTATCCACCCTACCTCCAAGATCGTGTTGTAAACTCTCAGTATGGCACACAGCCACAGCAGTACCCACCTATATACCCATCTCACTATGATAGCCGTCGAGTGTACCCTGCTCAGTCTTACACAAGAGAAGAGATATTCCGAGAAAGCCCTATACCCATTGAGATTCCACCTGCAGCAGTACCATCGTATGTACCAGAATCCAGAGAAAGATACCAACAGATCGAGAGTTACTATCCAGTGGCTCCTCATCCAACTCAGATCAGACCTTCGTACCTCAGAGTATGCTGTATTTTTTTTTATTACATAGACTTAATTTGACTATTGCTTGCAGTGATTCCTTACTTTTTATACAATGATAATAACCCTTTGATGACTTCTTCTTTATGAGAGCTTCTTTTTTTTTTAATCTTTTCGTAATTTGCGTAGGTTTTTTTTTTTTTAACTATTAATGAGAAAAAAATTCTGCCTCCTCCCCCCAATTAACCATTCTTAGTTTCTGAACTTTAGATGTTTAATTAACAATTCTAGATCTACTTGGAAATTATGACCAAATAAAAAAAACCTAAATTTAGCTATTTGGAAGATCTTGAGAGTTTGGGGGGTTTTGTTTTACTTTGTTCTATTAAGTGTTGGTGTTTTCAAATGTTAAGAAGGGTATACAAGCTGCTTCATAACTTAAAATATACGCTGAGTATATTAAATGAATTAATCTGTCCTGAAATTCTCCTTCAATTTTAACTAATCTTTCTATTTTTAGGAACCTCCTTATAGCCGGCTTCCTCCTCCTCCCCAGCCTCATCCTAGTCTAGATGAACTACATCGCCGACGAAAGGAAATAATGGCCCAGCTGGAGGAAAGAAAGGTTATCTCTCCACCTCCTTTTGCACCTTCACCAACCTTGCCTCCTACCTTTCATCCAGAAGAAGTAAGCATATCATTTTTAGTCTCATTTATCAGTGTTTTTGTGTGTGTGTCCAGTTTAGGTCATCTTTGCCTATCCCCAATGCGTATGAAGATTTTTTTTTTTCTGTTTTCTTCTAAAAGGTTTATTATCATTTAGCTCTGCAATCCATCTAGAACTGATTTTTGTATGTATGTAATGTAATATATTAGGAGTCAAGATCCGTGTTTTTTTGGTTGTTTTTTTTTTCCTGTAAGGCATTGACTCAGCACAATTTAATGAAATCGGCATGCTTTCCCTGGTGCCCTGCTTTATCATAATCAGGTGACCACATACATGTTTCCTGACCCTATTCTTTTCCATCAATCTATTTCTTTTTTTTTTTTTTGTGAGACAGAGTCTCGCTCTGTCGCCCAGGCTGGAGTGCAGTGGCGCAATCTCGGCTCACTGCAAGCTCCGCCTCCCGGGTTCACGCCATTCTCCTGCCTCAGCCTCCTGAGTAGCTGGGACTACAGGCGCCCGCCACCGCGCCCGGCTAATTTTTTGTATTTTTAGTAGAAACAGGGTTTCACCGTGGTCTCGATCTCCTGACCTTGTGATCCGCCCGCCTCGGCCTCCCAAAGTGCTGGGATTACAGGCGTGAGCCACCGCGCCCGGCCCATCAATCTATTTCTATCCTTGAACCAATGCCACATTCTCTTCGTGTAGTTCTATAATAAGTCTCAATATGTGGTGGTTATATTTTCTAGTATTGTTATTTTTCAAGAATCAGTATGTTGATTTCCACAAAAACATCTGCTCCAGTTTTGATTAGGATTACATCAGATCTCTAAATCTGTGCTGTCCAATATGGTAGCCACTAGCCACATGTGGCTGTTGAACATGTAATATGTGGCTAGTTTAAGTTCAGATGTACTATAGTGATAAAATACACACTGAATTCAAGAATTTCATACCAAAAATGTAAAATTCATTAATATTTTTGATATATTGGATTAAATAAAATTGTTAAAATTAATTTCACCTGTTTTTGTTTTTAATATGGCCACTAAATGTTTTTAATGTGGCCACAAAAATGTTTTAATTTTATGTGTGGATCGCATTATATTTTTATTAGTGTTGCTTTATATTTATTTGTTTATTTTTTTGAAACAGAGTCTCACTCTGTCGCCCAGGCTGGAGTGCAATGGCGCAATTTTCATTCACTGCTGCCTCTCAGGTTCAAGCAATTCTCATGCCTCAGCCTCCCAAGTAGCTTGGACTGCAGGTGCACACCACCACTCCTAGTTAATTTTAGTATCTTTTTTTTTTTTTTTTTGAGTCAGAGTCTCACTCTGTCACCCAGGCCAGAGTACAGTGGTGCAATCTCAATTCATTGCAACCTCCACCTCCTGGGTTCAAGTGATTCTCCTGCCCCAGCCTCCTGAGTAACTGAGATTACAGGCGTGCACCACCACGCCCAACTATAATTTTTGTATTTTTAGTGGAGACAGGGCTTCACCATGTTGGCCTTACTGGTCTCGAACTGCTAACCTCAGGTGATCCTCCCACCTCAGCTTTCCAAGGTGCTGGGATTAAGGTGTGAGACACCACGCCAGGCCTAGACAGTGTTGCCTTAGATCAACATGATGAGAAGTGACATTTTTCTCTTTTTTTTGAGACAGAGTCTTGCTCTTTCGCCAGGCTGGAGTGCAATGGTGCCATCTCAGCTCACTGCAGCCACCGCCTCCTGGGTTCAAGTGATTCTTCTGCCTCAGCCTCCCAAGTAGCTGGGACTACAGGCATGAGCCACCATGCCCGGCTAGTTTTTTGTATTTTAGTAGCACTGGGGTTTCACCCTGTTGGCCAAGATGGTCTCGATCTCTTGACCTCAGGTGATCTGCCCGCCTCGGCCTCCCAAAGTACTGGGATTACAAGCGTAAGCCACCGTGCCCAGCTGAGAAGTGACATCTTTCTAATATCAAGTCTCTTTGAACATCATATACCCCTTCATTTATTTGAATTTTCTTTATATTTCATACTCAGTGTCTTGCACATCTTACATTGAATTTATTCCTAGATAATCATTGTTTTTTGAAACTATTTTAAATAGAATTGTTTGGAAATTTTTATTTTCTATTATTAATATAGAGAAATAGATTTTTTGTATTGACCTTTCTATTCAGCAGGCTTGCTAAATTTCTTTATTAATTATAATACTGTTAGTAGATTCTTTTGAATTTTCTATGCACACAATTATGTCCTCTGAATAATCTTTTTTCCCCTTTTTAATCCTTTTGTCTTGTCTTTGTCTTATTATTTTGGACTCCAGCATAATGCTGAATAGAAGTGATTGTAACACATATTCTTGACTCCTTTCTAATCTTTGAGTAAATGGAGCTTTTAATAATAATTTACCATTATGTTGTAGGCTTTTTGGTAGAAAATCTTTATCATATTTATGAAACTTTAATCCTAGTTTCAGAATTGTTTTAAATAAGTAAGACATATCAAAGATTTATTTAACTCAGTAATGAGGAGACCAGCCAGAAAAGTTGGTTTAATGAATGGGAAAGACACATAAATATAGATAGTGAAAATCAGAGAAAAACAACAGTCAAATAAGATTGCTTTTAAAAAAGCTGGTTAATGTATCACAGGGCAATAACCATAATTTGGGGAGTCAGCTTCTTTGTATTTCTGTACGACAGTGCTACTAGTTATGGTGAATAAGTGTTGTCTTATTATGTTAATGTCTATATGGTCTACAGTGATGTTCGTTTTTCTAGTTCTATATTGGTAAATTTTTTTGTCAGTCCTGCTAAGGATTTATCAATTTTGTTCGTCTTTTCAAAAGGCCAACTTTTTTTTTTTTTTTTTTTTTTTTGAGACGGAGTCTTGCCCTGTTGCCCAGGCTGGAGTGCAGTGGTGTGATCTTGGTTCACTGCAACCTCTGCCTCCTGGGTTCAAGCGATTCTCCTGCCTCAGCCTCCCCCAGTAACTGGGATTATAGGCATGTGCCACCACACGCAGCTAATTTTTTTGTATTTTTAGTAGAGATGGGGTTTCTTTTTTTTTTTTTTTTTTTTTGAGACGGAGTCTCGCGCTGTGTCACCTAGGCTGGAGTGCAGTGGCGCGATCTCGGCTCACTGCAAGCTCCGCCTCCCAGGTTCACGCCATTCTCCTGCCTCAGCCTCCGAGTAGCTGGGACTACAGGCGACCGCCACCACGCCCGGCTAGTTTTTTGTATTTTTAGTAGAGACGGGGTTTCACCATGTTAGCCAGGATGGTCTCGATCTCCTAACCTCGTGATCCACCCGCCTCGGCCTCCCAAAGTGCTGGGATTACAGGCTTGAGCCACCGCGCCCGGCCAAGATGGGGTTTCACCATGTTGGCCAGGCTGGTCTCGAACTGACCTCAAATGATCTACCCGCCTTGGCCTCCTAAAGTGCTGGGATTACAGGCATGAGCTACTGCGCCCAGCCCAAAAAATCCAACTTTAAAGTAATCGTATTTGTTTTGTTGGTTGTACATACTGCTTTAGCTTATAGTTTTGTTTTTTTTTTTTTAAATAATCAAGTAAGTTTTCTCAGGATTACAGTTGATACTATGTAAGGAACTTGTCTTTCATCCTTTATGTATAGAATTACAATTCTAACCGTTACTAACTGACAAATCATGAATAATAAATGAAAATGGAGAAGTACATCACACATAGTAAATAGTGTCTTGTTGGGTGTATGAAGGAAGTTGAAGGAAGGAATGAAGGAAGTATGAAGGAAGTTCTACTAAATAGAAGTTGTTCACAATATCTAGTTTTCCCATCTAAACACTTTGGATGAGTTTTCCACAAAAACGTAGGTTATTAGTAAAGTCACAATGTCTTCTATTAATGTAGTTTTATTTGTAAAGTAAAAACAGCCAGGTGTGTAGTAGTTCACACCTGTAATCCCATACTTTGGGAGGCTGAGGTGGGAAGATGACTTGAGCCCAGGAGTTCAAGACCAGTCTGAGCAACATAGACCCTATTCCTACAAATTTAAAAATAAAAATTAGCCAGGTGTGGTGGGATACGCCTCCAGTCCCAGCTTCTTGGGAGGCTGAGGTGGGAGGATTGCTTGAACCTGGGAGGTCCATGCTGCAATGAGCTATGATTGTGCTACTGCACTCCAGCCTGAGTAACAAAGACCTTGTCTCAAAAAAGTTAGAGGAAAAAAAAAAAAAAAACAGGTGTGATATTTTTTCAAAAATTCTTTATTAGAGTACACCCTGGAACTTTGTTATGCTATATTGTTTTATAAGAAATGTGGAAAACAATATGACATTGTGAAAAGTGAGCAGTTTTTGGTATCAAACATAGGAAACTTTGAGGTTCAGTTGTGTCCTTCACTGTGATCTTTTTAAAATTACTTATCATCCCTGAACCCTGAGGTGCAAGTTTCTTCATTTATAAATCAAACATAGGAAAGCCTACCTCATAGTGGTATGGTGAAGATGAAACATAAGGCATCTGGTATGTAGCAGGCATTCAGTAAACAATTCATATTTATTATTGTTATTTTTACTCCTAATAAAAATTATAATAATGCCTGGCTATTAAGGAACATTATCTAGTATTATTTTAGTTACTGAGATACAAAGATACATATTTAAACCTCAGTTCTGATTATAAACAACCTGAATACAAAAATTAACCAGGCATGATGGTGGGCGCCTGTAATCCCAGCTACTTGGGAGACTGAGACTGAGGCAGGAGAATTGCTTGAACCCAGGAGGCAGAGGTTGCAGTGAGCCAAGATCACACACCACTGCACTCCAGCCTGGGCGACAGAGCGAGACTCCTTCTCAGCAAAAATTTAAAAATAAATAAATAAAACAACCTGTGTATAATTGTACTAAATTCATACATTATGGAAATACATGATATAGAAAGAGAAGTTTCTCCAAAATCTCATTTTCTATAACCACTGTTTATTATATATTTAAACTTTTTATATATATTTCACCTTCTTTCTGTGCATGAACTAACATCTCTCTAGAAGACACATTATAATTGTACAAGTTTATGGGATACAGAGTGATATTTTTTTTTATTATTTTTATTTTTTGAGATGGAGTTTCACTCTTGTTGCCCAGGCTAGAGTGCAATGGCACGATCTCGGTTCACCGCAACCTCTTCCTCCCGGGTTCAAGTGATTCTTCTGCCTCAGCCACCTGAGGAGCTGGGATTACAGTCATGCGCCACCACGCCTAGCTAATTTTGTATTTTTAGTAGAGACAGGGTTTCTCTATGTTGGTCAAGCTGGTCTCAAACTCCTGACCTCAGGTGATCCACCTGCCTCGGCCTCCCAAAGTGATACGTCAATACACATATACAATATGCAATGATCAAAGCAGAGTAATTAGCATATTATCTCAAACATTTACCTTTTATTTATATTGGGAACATTCAAAATCCTCTCTTCCTTGGACAATTGTGTATGTGATACTTGCCACTGCAAGGTCAAGGCTACAGAAATGCAGGATGCTTCCAGAGAGTTTCAGTCATCCTTTGACTGGTAGGCAGGTAGCTTTTAAGTCATTCAGAACAGTCATCCCACTTTTCTTTTCTTTTTCTTTTCTTTTTTTTTTTTTTTTTTTTTTTTTGAGACAGACTCTTGCTCTATTGCCCAGGCTACAGTGCAGTGGCACGACCTCGGCTCACTGCAACCTCCACCTCCCTGGTTCAAGCGATTCTCCTGCCTCAGCCTCCTGAGTAACTGGGATTACAGGCATGTACCACCATGCCAGGCTGATTTTTGTATTTTTAGTAGAGGCGGGGTTTCACCATGTTGGGGTTTCACCATGTTGGCTGGTCTCGAACTCCTAACTTCAGATGATCTAGCCACCTCAGCCTCCCAAAGTGCTGTGATTACAGGCATGAGCCACTGTGCCCGGCCAGTCATCCAACTTTTCTTTGAAGAAGAGAGCAGTGTTATATTTTAATTGTCAATTTTTGCATTATATAACATTGTATAAATAACATTCTTCTTGTGGGCTAAATAAATATCTTCAGATTTTATTTCAAGGAAAAATGCTGGGCAGATCTGCTGTTGTCCTTGCTTTTCATATCTACAACATTGTTGACAATGTTTATCTCAAGCTTCCTTTATAAATCGGCCCAGCGCGGTGGCTCACGCCTGTAGAAAAAAAAAAAAGCCACATCTCTTACTGCAAACCTGATGTTGTTGTTGTTGTTGTTGTATGAAGATTGTGGTTTCTTTCTTTCTTTTTTTTTTTTTTGAGATGGAATGTCACACTGTCACCTGGGCTGGAGTGCAATGGTGTGATCTTGGCTCACTGCAACCTGCGCCTCCCAGATTCAAGCGATTCTCCTACCTCAGCCCCCTGAGTAGCTGGGATTACAGGCGCCCGCCACCATGCTGCCTAATTTTTTGTATTTTTAGTAGGAATGGGGTTTCACTATGTTGGCCAGGCTGGTCTTGAACTCCTGACCTCATGATCCGCCCACTTTGGCCTCCCAAAGTGCTGGATTATAGGTGCGAGCCACCATGCCCAGCCTAAGATTGTGGTTTCTTTCTTCATCAAATTGAAAATTATTTTGTTGATATTTGTTTCTTTTGTCAATCTGTCCTAGATACTTTCCATTTTATTTTGACTTCCAAGATCCTAAGTGGAAAACTTTTTTAAAAATGTTTCTATTTTCTTAAAAAAGAGACAGGGTCTTGCTGTGTTGCCCAGGCTGTTGATCTCACACTCATGGGCTCAAGCAATCCACCCACCATGCCCAGCCCACATTTTTTATGTCATTTGTTAAATAAGTAAATAAACCTGAATTGAATTGGTCTATAGAAATAATGAATAAAATTGTATATAAAGATCAGTTTATGATGTTAAAAGTTTTCTTCAAAAAAAAAAAGCATAATTTTTTCAAATCAGGAAAAACAATCCTCTCTTCTGGCTTTTAGAAAATATATAGTAAATTATTAACTGTATTCACCCTGCAGGGCTATAGAATGCTAGAAGTAATTCCTCCTATGTAGCTATAATTTTGTATCTATTAACCAAGCTCTGTCTCCCCTTGCCTCCCTCCATTCCCTTTCTAGTCTCTCATAACCACAGTTCCACTCTCTACTTCTGTGACTCAACTTTTTAGCTCCCACATATGAGTGAGAACATGAAATATTTATCTTTCTGTGCCTAACCAATTTCACTTAATGTGTTGTCCTCCAGGCTCATCTAGGTTGCTGCAAATGACAGGATTTATTCTTTTTTATGTCTGAATAATATTTCATTGTATATATACCGCATTTTCTTTATCAGTTCATCTGTTGCTGTACACCTCGGTTGATTCTGTATCTTGGCTGTTGGGAATAAAACATGAGGGTGTAAATATCCCTTCATATACTGATTTATTTTCCTTTAGATGAATGCCCAGTAGTGGGATTGTTGGATGTCTTTATTGTTATTGTTATTACTTTTTTTTTTTTTTTTCTTTTTGAGACAGAATCTCACTCTGTTGCCCAGGCTGGAGTGCAGTGGTGCAAACTTGGCTCCCTGCAACTCTGCCTCCCAGGTTCAAGCAATTTTCCTGCCTCAACCTCTTGAGTAGCTGGGACTACAGGCATATACCACCACACCCAACTAATTTTTATATTTTTAGTAGAGACAGGGTTTTACCACCTTGGCCAGGCTGGTCTTGAACTCCCGACCTTAGGTGATCTGCCTGCCTCGACCTCCCAAAGTGCTGGGATTACAGATGTCAACCACCTTGCCCAGCCTCATTATTATTTTTTAATAGGATCATTTAGTAAATACATCTTGGTTTTATGTCTGTTTTGCCTTTGTTTTTGTTTTTACCTAATCCATTTTCCTGGCTGTCTTTGTATGTCAGTATATAAATTTATCTCATTCATTTAAATAGCTGCATATAATATACTACAGTCAGAGATTTAAAAAAGGAGCACTCTTGGCTAGGCGTGGTAGCTCACACCCGTAATCCCGGCACTTTGGGAGGCTGAGGTAGGTGGATCACCTGAGGTCAGGTGTTCCAGACGAACCTGTCCAACATGGTGAAACCCTGTCTCTACTAAAAATGCAAAAATTAGCCAGGTGTAGAGGTACGCACCTGTAATCCCAGCTACTTGGGAGGCTGAGTCAGGAGAATGGCTTGAACCTGGGAGGCAGAGGTTGCAGAGAGCGGAGATCATGTCACTGCACTTCATCCTGGGTGACAGAGCGATACACCGTCTCAAAAAAAAGGAGCACTGTAATTGGTAGGTCATGTGTTTTAAAAGTTAGCTGTTCTATCTAAAGTTTAATAAGTAGAAGAAAAATAAAAAAGCGTAAAATTTTTTTTTAAAATAATAGTAGGACAAAGAAAAGGGAAAAGGTTATGAATAATAGAAGCAGAAGAGTGGTTGGCAATGAGTGATACTAGTGATCAGCAGACCCTGTGTCAGTGCAGAAGGCCAATAATGATGACTCAGAAAAGAGATGTTTTTAGTATAGTGGGAGGCATAGATCCACTTAAATGAACCAATACCAATGAAGAGTGGTTGACAGTGAATGATACTACTATGTCAATGCAGAAGGCCAACAATGATAACTCAGCAAAGAGATGTTTTTAGTATGAACACTGATACCCCTAGATATCAGTGTATATATGTCTTGTGATAAAATGAAAGAAACATTAAAGTTATAGTCCTAGCACTGCCCTATACTGGTATAGCCTTGGTCATATCACCTGTGTTGTCTATTATGGATTTAGGAGCTTATTAGGTAGTATACGTGAAAACATTTTGAAAATGTAAAACATTTTATAAATGTGAATGTTGCAATTTTAGTGAAAATATATTAGCCTTAGAATAGCTATTCTGTTTTTAGACTGAAGAACTTATCTTGAAAAGATAAAAATTAGACATCCTTTTCATCTCATTGAATCAACCTAAGAAGCAGAATTTATTCAAGATATGAATTATTGCTATTAAAGAGATTTCAGTAAAAAGTTACTACATCATCATGTACTATAAAAATCAAAATTTTTAATGTTCTTGTTTACCTTGATTTTATTGAAAGAAACATTGAGGAGGGTCTAACAAAACTATGGCTTGGTACATATATGCTTAAATGTTTACTGATCTAATGAAGAAAAGGATGAGCAAACCCATAAAATCCTAGCCTGATTCCTGGAAGGATATTGAATTATCTTTTTTCTTTTTCTTTTTTTTTTTTTTTTTTACCTTCTGCTAAGGTAAAAAAAAAAAACAAAACAAAAACTGAAAGCTAAAAATCACTCTTCACTTATTTTATATTTTTCATAGTTTACAAAAATCTTCTATTGTGGCACTTAAAAATCGAATAATCATCATTATGTTGCTTCAGGACAATGTTCTAAGAAATTCCCTGCTTTCTCTATCTTGTTATTCATAGACCCATTTCCTGTTTCTTTTTCTTTTTCTTTTATTTTTTCTTTCTCCATCTGTAGTTTTTGGATGAAGACTTGAAGGTAGCTGGGAAATACAAAGGAAATGATTATAGCCAATACTCTCCCTGGTCATGTGACACCATCGGCTCCTACATTGGAACCAAAGATGCAAAACCCAAAGATGTTGTGGCAGCAGGGAGTGTGGAAATGATGGTATGTGTAACAGCCAAGCAATAATTAATACAAATCAAGATAAACCAAATAAATTTTCACCCATTACCATTTAGGCACAAATAATTCAGCTTTGCTTAAGAGTTTCAGACCATATTCTATACTCTGCAATTGAGTTATCTTTAAGCAGTACAGGTTTTTGATTCATTTAGATGTAAATAAAAATCTTTTAATACTTACCGAGACAGAGCATTTATTATATTTCTGTGCAAATAGCAATTTCTCAACAATTGTTTAGTACCCAGATTAAATTATTTTACATAATTAATTAGGATCTTGGACCCCTTCACCAAATAAGTTAAAATTCTTCTTCACGGAGAATGGTGTGAACCCGGGAGGCAGCACATGCAGTGAGCCAAGATTGTGCCACTGCGCTCCAGCCTGGGCGACAAAGTGGCACTCCGTCTCAAAAAAAAATTCTCAAAAAAAAAATTATTTTTCACAACTCTGAAGTTTAAATAACAAAGTTGAATCTAGTGAACGAGAGTAGTATTTGAGTCAGAATTACAGCTGCTCAGCTTCAAGTGAACTCTAAGATGCTGAAATTTAATACTTGGGTTATTTTATTCTTTAGTGAAAAATCATGTAACACCAGTGTTTCTAATAACCAAGTTAAAATATTATCAAAATCTTATCTCTCTCTCTTTTTTTTTTTTTTTGAGACAGACTTTTACTCTTGTTGCCCAGACTGGGGTGCCATGGTGCAATCTCGGCTCACCGCAACCTCCACCTCCCAGGTTCAAGTGATACTCCTGCCTCAGCCTCCGGAGTAGCTGGGATTACAGGCATGCACCACCACACCCGGCTAATTTTGTATTTTTTAGTAGAGACGGAGTTTCTCCATGTTGGTCAGACTGGTCTCGAACTCCCGACCTCAAGTGATTCACCCGCCTCGGCTTCCCAAAGTGCTGGGATTATAGGCATGAGCCACTGTGCCCAGCTTCATCTTATCTCTTTTTATAGAGATAGGATCGATCTTTGTCACCCAGGGTGGAGTGCAGTGACGTGATTATGGCTCACTGTAACCTCAAACTCCTGAACTCAGGAGATCCTCCTGAGTACCTAGGATTACAGGTGCATGCCACCACACCCAGCCATATTTTTTAGTAGAGACGGGGTTTCTCCATGTTGGTCAGGCTGGTCTTGAACTCCCGACCTCAAGTGATCCACCTGTCTCAGCCTCCCAAAGTGCTGGGATTACAGGCGTGAGCCACCATGCCCAGCTTCAGCTTATCTCTTTATAGCAATAGGATCGATCTTCATCACGCAGGGTGGAGTGTAGTGACATGATTATGGCTCACTGTTACTTCAAACTCCTGAACTCAGGTGATCCTCCTGAGTAGCTAGGACTACAGGTGCATGCCACCACACCCAGCTAATTTAAAAAATTTTGTAGAGATGGGGTCTTGCTATGTTTCCCAGACTGATCTTAAACTCCTGGCCTCAAGTGATCCTACCGCCTCTGCCTCCCAAAGTGCTGGGATTACAGGCATGAGCTACCCTACTTGGATAGTATCTTCATTGCCTTTTTATTTTTTAAAGAAATACAATTTTCAAGAAGTATATCCCCCTGTATATATTTCCCAAGTCTCGTTTTTCTCCCTCTTTCATTCCCTGTCAGTAATCTCTATCCTGAGTTTAGTATTTATCATTTTCATGGATAATTTTATTTCCCCTTAAGACAGGATCTTCCTCATGCTGGAGTGCAGTGTCACAATCACAGCTCACTGCAGCCTCACGCTCCTGGACTCAAGTGATCCTCCCACCTCACCCTCCCAAGTAGCTGGGACACAGATGTGTGATACTATGCTCAGCTAATTTTTTTTTTTTTTTTTTTGGTAGAGATGAGGTCTTGCTATGTCGCCTAGGCAGAACAGGCTGGTCCTGAGCTCCTGGGCTCAAGGGATTCTCCTGCTTCTGAAAGTGCTGTAGTTACAGGTGTGTGCCAGTGCGCCTGGCCATGGATAATTTTATACTATTCCTAAACAATGTTGTTTTATATGTTTATAGACCTTATATAAATTATACACTTCAGCTTGTATTTTCATGTTTTCACTCAGCATTGCTTTTAAATTGTGTCTTTTTTTTTTTTTTTTTTTTTGAGACAGAGTTCCACTCTGTCACCCAGGCTGGAGTGCAGTGGCATGATCTCAGCTCACTACAACCTCCGCCTCCTGAGTTCAAGCGATTCTCCTGCCTCAGCCTCCCGAGGAGCTGGGACTACAGGCACATACCACCATGCCTGGCTAATTTTTTTGTATTTTTAGTAGAGACACAGTTTTGCCATGTTGGTCAGGCTCGTCTCAAACTCCTGACTTCAGGTGATCTGCCCTCCTCGGCCTCCCAAAATGCTGGGATTACAGGTGTGCGCCACCATGCCCAGCCCATATTTATATCTGTAGCTCAGGATTATTGATTTTAGCTACTTTTGCAAGATATTCTGTATAAATGATACCATACAATGATTTCTTTTTGTATTAGTGGACATTTAGGCTATTTTTGATCTTTCACTATTATGTATGGTACTCCAACAAACATTCTTATGTATATATGTCTTCACGTGCATGAAAGTTACACTTAGAAATGGTCTTGCTAGCTGGGCACTGTGGCTCATGCCTGTAATCCCAGCACTTTTGGAGGCCAAGGCAGGTGGATCACTTGAGGTCAGAAGTTTGAGACCAGCCTGGCCAACATGGCAAAACCTCATCTCTACTAAATACACAAAAATTAGCTGGGCATGGTAGCAGGAGCCTGTAATCCCAGGTACTTGGGAGATTGAGACAGGAGAATGGCATGAACCCGGGAGGCAGAGGTTGCAGTGAGCTGAGATTGTGCCACTGCACTCCAGCCTAGATGACAGAGTGAGACTCCATCTCAAAAAAAAAAAAAAAAGGAATGGTATTGCTGAATGGTATGGTATACCTTGACTATTCTTAACCCATTTGTCCTTATTACTCTTAACAGAGTTAGTAAGATATTGTATAGGTTTTTCCTAGGTTATATAGATTTTCATGGATAAATACTTTTCCAGGTGGTTAAGAAAAGACCAACATTTGCCATAAGAAAAAGATTTGGGTGCTGATAACCACTGTAAATGAGTGAAGTGATATCTAATAGCATAAATATGATTATATGCCAGCCCCGCCCCCCCCCAAAAAATAGAGTTTTAGAGGGAGAAAAAGCAAAATAAATCTTTTTTTTTTTTTTTTTTTTTTTTTTGCAGTAGGATTACAGAAGCATTGTTTTTGGGCTGTAATAAGGCTCTTATTGGAAAGAAATGAGGGGAAATTAGGCAGGAATGTTTGCCTTGTACTTGGCTTTCAAAAAGGGTTATTATATTAAAGTAACACGAGTATTAGCAAAACAAAACTCATTTTCTTAAATCAGTAAAGAATTAAAAAGTTTGGGCCAGGCATGGTGACTCACACCTGTAACGCCAGCACTTTGGGAGGCCAAGGTGGGAGGATTGTTTGAACCCAGGAGTTCAAGACCAGCCTGGGCAACATAGCAAGACCCCATCTCCTCAAAAATGTTTTTAATTAGCCAGGTGTGGTGGTACACGCCCGTGGTCCCAGCTACTTGAGAAGCTGAGGCAGGAGGATTGCTTGAGCCCAGGAGGTTGAGGCTTACACACCACTGCACTCCAACCTGGTGACAGAGCAAAACCCTGTCTCAAAAACAAACAAAAAGTTGCAGTCCAATCTAGAGGACTTGAAATTTGGGAGGAAATTGAAAATCTCCCAAATAGGTGAAAGAAGTCTAATCTAGTATTTCTCAAATGTTAATGTGCATGCAAATTATATATTTGTGTGTCTATATATGTGTGTAACATTATATAGGGATAAATATATATTTGTATGCATATATATATATACACACACACACTAGATCATTATATATATGTATTTCTTAAAGATTGAATTGGCTTTTATTAGTGATTGATTAATCAGGAAGCATTTCATCTATGAAATAGAAATATGCTCTAATGAGCTAAACAGAGAAAAGGAACGAAACTCAGATTAGCTGTTTCAAAGTTATTTTTCTTATAGGACTAAAGCAGAAGGGACTTACCAGTTCTAATTGAGTGATCCTCTTATGATTGATTGCTGTGAATCTCCTGTTTTTTGGAAAACTGACGCATTTTCAAGTTCAGTTTGATTTTGTGGCATCTAGCACAAGTGATTACATTCTGCTTTGATCTGGTGTCTTGGGGCTTAGTGCAGGAGCTTAGTCCAAAACAATGGCCTCCCATAAATTTTAAAAATGTATTTCTTAGGTCAGGTGCAGTAGCTCATACCTATAATCCCAGCACTCTGGGAGGTTGAACTTGAGGCAGGAGGATTGCTTGAGCCCAGGAGTTTGAGACCAGCCTGGTCAACATAGGGAGACCTCATCTCTATAAATAATTAAAAAAAAATTAGCTGAATATGGTGGTACATGCCTATAGTCCCAGCTACCTGGGAGGCTGAGGTGTGAGGATCACTGGAGCCCAGGAGGTTGAGGATGCAGTGAGCCATGATAGTGCCCCTACATTCCAGCCTGGGCAACAGAGTGGGACCCTGTCGCCCCTCACCTCAGAGGTTTAAAAACCAGTGTTACATAAAAACAACCAAAGGTAACTAATGATTTTAGTCTTACCAGTAAGAGTGTTGTACTCATCTTTAACCTTATTACAGATCTAGAAAAAATTAGGTTACAGAGCGATCTGAGTGTGGGGTAGATTTCTCATTTTGCTTTTTTATCAGAATGTGGAGAGTAAAGGAATGAGGGACCAGCGATTAGATCTTCAGAGAAGAGCAGCAGAAACCAGTGATGATGACCTCATCCCATTTGGAGACCGACCAACAGTGTCTCGGTTTGGTGCCATCTCGCGAACTTCCAAAACTATATATCAGGGTGCTGGTCCAATGCAGGCTATGGCACCTCAGGGAGCTCCTACAAAATCTATTAACATTTCAGGTAAGAATCTCAAAGGTAAGCTGACCTAAAGGGTTCATAATCTTGACTTTCAGCATTACCCCTGCTCCCCATTTACTATCAGTGTTTTTAGTAATCTTGCAAGGCAGTAATTTTCAAACTTTCCAGGGAATCATCCCTGTAAGAAAGGTAATATAACCCAGTGAATTTTAGGTATATAAACTGAAATTGAAATTAAATGTCTATATGTGAAGCTTTCCTAATGTTTCTTCCCCATCCCACCCCCACCTCAAATAGCTTCATTGCTATATGGGGGAATAACATTCTCATTATACAGTAATTTGGAAGAAAAACTACAAAGACTGAAAGTTCATTGGGGAAGAAACAAACATGTATCAGCACCCAGCATCATGCTGCCTGACATTTAGAAAAACAAAGTTAAAGAATTTTAAAAATCTGGCCATTTAAGGTAGATACCAGATATCTGTGTATGCAATACCCTGATGTCTTTTAGATTGTGAGTACCTTAAAAGAAGAATCAAATCTGTGAATTATCTCATACCATAATAAATCATTCTCTTACAGATTATAGTCCATATGGAACCCACGGTGGCTGGGGAGGTTCTCCATATTCACCTCATCAAAACATAGCTTCTCAGGGACACTTCAGTGAGAGGTATGAGTCATTCTTTTTACTTGAATAGACATGTAGAAACCTTTAAAATTATGCAACTTCTTTTTGTTTTTCTGGTCAGTAATATCTTAACAAAATGAAATGTTAAAATTTACTTCACACTTTCTTTCTAACCAAAGGGAGAGAATATCTATGTCAGAAGTGGCCAGTCATGGAAAACCCCTTCCATCTGCTGAGAGAGAACAGCTACGACTAGAATTGCAACAATTGAACCATCAGATTAGCCAGCAGACCCAGCTACGTGGACTAGAGGTACCAGCCTAGAGAGCCATTTTTGTTCCAATTTTTGAAGGGTTCTCAGAGATTTTAAACAGGAACTTTTGAGGCACTATGAACAAAAAACTTTAAGGTCTATTTCTTAGGAGTTAGTGTAGGTTTCCATTCTTCAAAGAATTCAATACTGGGTTTAGCTCTGGGACAATAGAAAACGTAAAATTTCTACTACCTAAGAATAGAAAACAGATTACCTAAAATTTCCCAACAGGAGCTTGTATTCCCTGATGGCACATTTAAGTTTTGTTTGTTTGTTTGTTTGTTTTTGCTTTTTGTTTTTTGTTTTTTGAGACAGAGTATTGCTCTGTTGCCCAGGCTGGAGTGAGGGGGCGTGATCTCAACTCACTGCAACCTCCACCTCCTGGGTTCATGTGATTCTCCTGCCTCACCTACTGAGTACTTGGAATTATAGATGTACACAACCATACTCAGCTAATTTTTGTATTTTTAGTAAAGACGGGATTTCACCCCTGTAATCCCAGCACTTTGGGAGGCCGAGGCAAGCAGATCATGAGGTCAGGAGTTAAGACTAGTCTGGCCAACATAGTGAAACCCCATGTCTACTAAAAATACGAAAAATTAGCTGGGCATGCTGGTGTGCGCCTGTAATCACAGCTACTCAGGAGGCTGAGGCAGGAGAGTCGTGTGAACCCAGGAGGCAGAGGTTGCAGTGAGCCGAGATCGCGCCATTGCACTCCAGCCCAGGCTACAGTGTGAGACTCAGTCTCAAAAAAAAAAAAAGAACTTTGACTTAAAAAATAAAACATAGTTCCAGTGTAATAAGAATAATAACACTTTTCATTTATGTAGTTCTGTACCATTTAAAAATCACTACCATGTATCTTATTTGACCCTTACAATATCGCTAATAGGTAGGTTAGACAGGTGGTATTGTCTTCCTTTTTTGATTGAAGTATATGAGTTTCTCAAAAATTGAAACATGAACTCAAGTCTTCATATTTCAGATTCAGTGTTCTTTCCATCATGCTGCCTGACACTTAGAAAGACAAAACTAAAGAATTTTTTAAAATGTGGTGGTTCGTGCTTGTAATCCCAGCACTTTGGGAGGCCAAGGCAGACGGATTGCTTGAGCTCAGGAGTTTGAGACCAGCCCGGGCAACATGGCAAAATCCCTTCACTACAAAAAGTGCAAAAATTCACCAGGCATGGTAGTGCATGCCTGTAGTCTCAGCTACTCAGGATGCTGAAGGCAGAAGGATCACCTGAGCCCAGGGAGGTCAAGGCTGCAGTGATCCCGGATGGTGCCACTGCACTCCAGCCTGAGCGACAGAGTGAGACCCTGTCTCAAAAAAAAAAAACAAGAATTTAAAAAATCTTTTAAGTGTCACATAAGGAAGACTAGGTTTTGTTTATATATCATCCTTTACATTGGAACATATTCTTTGAATATGGAAAACTGAAGACATTCTAATGATAAATACATTGTCCTTTCTGGAGGAAAAAATGGTACTGTTAGAACATTAGTCTGTCTTTCTACCATAATCTTTAATAATAAGTAAGCCATCACTTTGGAGGGGAAAAAAGTTATAAGACTTTTTCTTAGTAGACTTTCTTTTTAGGAAGACCAGTAGGAGATTATTTTCGAAACATTTAGCTGACTTGTGCCCCTACGTACACAATTAGATTTAGGAATTTTAAAAAATCTATGTAATATTTAGATTTTGTCTGCTTTTGCCATTGCTTATTTACATTGATTCAAAATGTCTTGCTGATTCCTGTCACAGAAACAGAATGCTATGTTTGCTTATGGCAATCTTTCGTTCATTAACTTTTTAAAGATTCAGACCTTCTACCCAATAAGGCATCACTGCATATCCTCAAATGCATGGTTTTTTGTTTTAAAGTTTCCAGGCACATTTTCTGTCCAAAAAGACTATCAGTATTATTTAGAAACTTGCCACATATTTAACTCAGTACAGTTAAAAGTCCTTGCCATTACTGAGGTTTCAATGAAATAAGTTATAGGATTTACTTCAGAGAAAATTACCATTAAAAACAGAGGGGGAAAGATGCACATCTGTAGTTGACTTGTTTTTCTTCCATTTCCTTTTTTTTTTTTTTTTTTTGAGAGACAAGGTCTCACTCTGTTGCCCAGGCTGGAGTGTATGGAGTGCAGTGGCATGATCATAGCTCACTGTAATCTTAAACTCCTGGGCTCAAGTGATCCTCCCTAGTAGCTAGGACTACAGGCCCACACCACCATCCTAGGCTAATTTTTTTTTTTTTTTTTTTGTAGAGGCAAGGTCTTGATGTATTGCCCAGGTGGGTCTCAAATTCCTGGCCTCAAGTGATCCTCCCACCTCAGCCTCCCAAAGTGCTAGAATTAAAGGCATGAGCCACCATGCACAGCCAACTTCTCTTTCAAATCAGAAAATACAAAGAGCAATTTATACTTAAGATGAAATTACTGTTTACTAAATTTAAATGTCCCTGTTTTGTTCTTTTATTGTTCAAATGGTACTCAAAGAGAACAGTGTCTTACAGTTGCATTATTTTTGTTGCAAATAGCTGGGTGATAAGCTACTTAAGGCTGTGGTGTGGAATTGAGCCTGGTTATTCTGTGCATGGTGTGAAGTGTGTTGAGTTTTCTCTGTGCTTGGCTTTATGCACTAGGCTGTTAGTAACAGACTGGTGTTGCAGAGGGAGGCAAACACCCTGGCAGGCCAGTCACAGCCCCCACCACCGCCACCTCCAAAATGGCCTGGAATGATCTCAAGTGAGCAGTTGAGCTTGGAACTGCACCAGGTGGAAAGGGAAATTGGGAAGAGAACACGGGAACTGAGTATGGTGAGTGTTATGGTGGGAAGAGAGGGGGAAGGTGAAATGAAATCTTTCATGTGGCTCTAGAATTATCTAGAGCTACAGAATCATCACTTCAAGGCACTCTGATGAGTGGTTAATATTTAAAATAATTATCATGCGGGTGGACTACCTTACTATTTTATCATTCCCTTCCTCTCTTTTGGTTTGAGTGTGTTCTTTGTCTTAGAATTCTTCATTAACTTTTAGGGAAAACAAGGTTTTAATGCTTCTTTAATTTAAGAACTTAATGGAAGTTCTTAAATCTCTGTTTAGCATACCGATTAGGGAAGCAAATAGGATGGTGTTTACTATTTTGCAATGACAACGTGTTATATAAAGATGTATTCACCAAATAATATTCCAGCTTCGTAGCCTTTATAACAATGACCTTTTTTTGCTATGAGTGATATACAGTCTGCACATTCTTTCCTTGGAACTATATCCATTAATATGCTTAGGATTTGTTTCATAGTGCACAGACATTCATTTTAGTAAATTTTGAATCTTAGGGGGTTCCTCAGGTTGCATGATACGATTTTTTTGTTGCATAGTTTTCATAATCTTTCTAAGCAAATAAATTGAGTGTACAGGTTTTTTTTGCTTTCAGTAAGTATGTTAAAGATATTTATTGTACTTTGGTTTGCTTTTTTTGTTTTTTTGAGACTGAGTCTCTGTCACCCAGGATGGAGGGCAGTGACGCAATCTCAGCTCACTGCAACCTCCGCCTCCCATGTTCCAGTGATTCACCTGCCTCAGTCTCCCGAGTAGCTGGGATTACAGGTGCCTGCCACCACACCAGTGTAGTTTTTGGTTTTTTGGGGTTTTTTTTAGTTGTTTTTTTTGAGACGGAGTCTCGCACTGTTGCCCAGGCTGGTGTGCAGTGGCACAATCTCAGCTCACTGCAACCTCAGCCTCCTGGGTTCAAGTGATTCTTCTGCCTCAGCCTCCCAAGTAGCTAGGATTATAGGTGCCCACCACCACGCCCAACTAATTGTTTAATATTTTTAGTAGAGATGGGGTTTTGCCATGTTGGCCAGGCTGATCTTGAACTCCTGACCTCAGGTGATACACCCACCTCAGCCTCCCAAAGTGTTGGGATTACTGGTGTGAGCCACCACACCCAGCCTTTTTTTTTTTCTTTTTTTCTTTTTTTTTGGAGGGAGTCTCACTCTGTCACCCAGTGGGGGAGTGCAGTGGTACAATCTCAGCTCACTACAACCTCCGTCTTCTGGGTTCAAGTGATTCTCCTGCCCCAAGCTTCTGAGTAGCTGAGATTACAGGCGTGCACCACCACACCTGGCTGATTTTTGTGTTTTTAGTAGAAATGGGGTTTTGCCATGTTGGCCAGTCTGGTCTCGAACTGACCTCAGGCAGTCCACCTGCCTCAGCCTCCAAACTGCTGGTATTACAGGGATGAGCCACCATGCCTGGCCACCTTTCTAGGTTATCATTTTTTTCTGTGAATTTTTTTTTCACGTTAGCTTGAGGCATTGTCTCTCTTTTTGTCCAGCTTGGTTAGTGAGCAAGTGGGTTGTATTCTGTTATGTTTTTATGTATGTCACTCTTTTAGTCTGCCAGTTTCTTTGGTTATTTTACAAAATTAAATATGATTTCTGGATCATCACTTTGTATTATCTGTAATTTGGTCTCTCCCATTAACACCATTAAATAGACGATAACTGATTTTATTTCCTCTTTCAAAGGAAAACCAGTGTTCTCTGGACATGAAAAGCAAACTGAATACAAGTAAACAAGCCGAAAATGGACAACCAGAACCACAAAACGAGGTTCCGGCTGAAGACCTTACATTGACATTCAGGTAAAGAAAAGGAGATTTTCGTAGCCATATTAAATTACACACAAAAGAGAAATTATTATATTATCCAGTCATATCAGAAGTACCCTCATAAACATAATTCGATTCTTAAAATATCATTATTCTGTGTACATTAAGAATATTTTTGCGGCCAGGCGCAGTGTCTCACGCCTGTAATCCCAGCACTTTGGGAGGCTGAAGCGGGCGGATCACGAGGTCAAGAGATCAAGACCATCCTGGCCAGCATGGTGAAACCCCGTCTCTACTAAAAATGCAAAGATTAGCTTGGCATGGGGGCCTGTGCCTGTAGTCCCAGCTACTCGGGAGGCTGAGGCAGGAGGATCGCTTGAACCTGGGAGGGGGAGGTTGCAGTGAGCCAAGATTGTGCCACTGTACTCCAGCCTGGTGACAGAGTGAGACTCAGTCTCAAAAAAAAAAAAAAGAATATTTTTGCATAAATCTGGAGTTACAAAACTTAGATCCAAGGTTGAATTATCTATTAATACCTAACAAAGGAAAATTTCTGGTTATGTTTCCATCTTCCCCTTGTTTTTAAATCTATTTCGAAGATAGCCTTGTATCTTTACATTATAAAAGTACTATATGCTCAATGTAGAAAAAATAAAGTCACCCCCCCATCTTAAATATGTTATAAAAAATTAGCTTTAGGAAATCGAAAATTTTAGAAAAGGGCAAATTTTTAAATTGCCTGTAATTCCAATATTCAGAGATAACCCTTGTTAACATTTTGGAGTATTATATTATCTTTCCAGTCTTTTTTTTTTTTTCTTTTTTTGAGATGGAGCTTCACTCTTGTTGCCTAGACTGGAGTGCAATGGCACGATCTCGGCTCACCACAACCTCTGCCTCCCGGGTTCAAGCAGTTTTTCTGCCTCAGCCTCCCAAGTAGCTGGGATTACAGGCGTGCACCACTACGCCTGGCTAATTTTGTATTTTTAGTAGAGACAGGGTTTCTCCATGTTGGTCAGGCTGGTCTTGAACTCCTGACCTCAGGTGATCCACCTGCCTCGGCCTCCCAAAGTGCTGGGAGTACAGGTATGAGCCACCGCACCCGGCTTTTTCCAGTCTTTTTAAAGTGTGTGGGCATTTAGCCTCTTGCTAGTTTCACAAACCCAGCACTCCACCTCCTTGGTTTTTAATTCAGACTGTCCTATATCATCCAGTATTCTGCAGATATGAAAAGATACATATCAACTACCATGAACATCCCTACAATAAACAGTATTACAATTAATGCTTTGTTTGCATATCTTAAATTATTTTCTGAGGATATTTTGAGGCTTTTGAATACACAGTCCTAAGTTGCCCCCCTGACGATATATAACAAAAATTTCTAATGCTTTCAGGCCTGGATTTTGACATTTTAATTCATGCATTATCTTGGATTCAATTTTTTTTTTTTTTTTTTGAGACAGAATCTTACCCTGTCACCCAGGCTAGATTGCAATGGCATAGACTCGGCTCACTGCAACTTCTGCCTCCTGGGTTTAAGCGAGTCTCCTGCCTCAGCCTCTTGAGTAGCTGGGACTACAGGCACGTGCCACCATACCTGGCTAGTTTTTGCATTTTTAATAGAGACAGGGTTTCACTGTCTTAGCCAGGCTGGTCTCAAACTCCTGACCTTGTGATCCACCTGCCTCAGCCTCCCAGAGTGCTAGGATTACAGGCATGAGCCACTGCACCTGGCTTTTTTTTTTTTTTTTTTTTTTGACAAACTCTCATTCTATCACTAAGGCTGGAATGTAGTGGTGCGATCTTGGCTCATTGAAACCTCTGCCTCTCAGGTTCAAGCAATTCTTGTGCCTCTGCCTCCCAAGTAGGTTTTTACAGGCACGTACCACCAGGCCAATTTTTCTGTTTTTAGTAGAGACAGGGTTTCACCATGTTGGCCAGGCTGGTCTCCAACTCCTGAGCTCAAGTGATCTGCCTGCTTTGGCCTCTGAAAGTGCTAAGATTATAGACATGAGTTCAAAATTATTTTTTGTAGTAGCAAACCTGCTAAATCAGGGATAAGTACTTTTCTTAAAGCCCAGGTAGTATTTTAAGATATGGGCCTTAAAGTTTTTGTCACAATTCTCAACTCTTCTCTGTGGTTTGAAAGCAGTGGATAATATGCTAAACAAATGAGCAGGCTGTATTCCAATAAAACTTTAGTTACAAAAATACACACCTGAAAAAAAAATACGCACCTGGCTAGCTTTGGTTTGCCAACCCTGTGCTAAAACATGGATAAGGGGCTGTAGATTAAAATTTGGAAGCCATTTATATATTTTTTATCATGCTAAATGATATCCCCTGTTGATATTTTTGTACTAATCATTTTTCTCTCTCTCCTTTTTCAAAATTTTAAAATGTCAGCAGTGATGTACCAAATGGATCAGCCTTGACACAAGAGAGTATCAGCCTCCTATCTAACAAGACCAGCTCTCTGAACCTATCAGAGGACCCTGAGGGAGGAGGCGATAACAATGACTCCCAGAGATCAGGAGTTACTCCCAGTTCTGCTCCTTAAAATATGAGGAGTCCTACTTTTATCTTCTGCTCCTAATCAGTTTGTCGGGCATAGGGGTAGGAGAACGCATAACTTCTAAACTTTTTCTCTTAAGAGCGGTCAGAGAAATCCAGGAAATTCACCAGAGGCAATGTGCACAAACACCACTACTAAAAACAAACCCTGCACATAGTTCACATTAATGCATTTTTTTAATTTAAAGAAAAAGAAAATTAGCAGTATCTGCAAGCAATTCAGATTAAATTTGTTTTTGTTCTGTGAATGAACTTTATTTTAATAACTTTGGACGCCTTGGATCCAGGGCTTTAAAAAAAAAAAAAGATATTATATATACACTCTGTTTGATTAATTGTATGATCTTAATGAAGTAGGTTTTCTTGTATTTTGGTATTACATACCCAGTGTATAATTTGTATAATTCCTTACCCCTAGTCCTTATCAATTCTCACCACCCTGTAAACTTAAAACAGACCAAAAACATCAGCTTTCAGAGAATTCTGTGGTGCTTGAGAAACAGACAGTACTAGACTGAGTTATTAGAAAATGTGCAGCAAACCAACTTTTCCCAGAGCTGTTCTTTGGAATTCTTTATCCCTTTCTAGATCACTAGCTTCATTGGATAGGTATGTTTTTCTTGACATTGAAAATTTTTTTTTGTTTGGGAGGGTTTTATTTCTTGTTTTTATTTTCAACTTTTCAAAGAGAATTACCAATTTTTGAAGTCCTCATTTTCATATTAAGGATCATTTGCATTTTCTGAATATAATGAGAAAGCTGAGTCAGTATTTAATTAGATTTAAATGTTGATTAAGAATTAACTATAACTTGTTAGCACTGAAAATACATGTTTGGTGATTCGCCTGCATTCAACTCATGGTTGGAAATTTGAAGCAGTGCTTTTCAAATTAAACTTTTGCTGAAATCATAGGATGCTCAAAAACCAGGACAATCAACCACATTTTAAAACTGCAACATTTGATTTGAACTTAAAATGAATAGAACCATTTCAATGGATGTTTTTGTTTTACTTGTAAACTGATTGAGTCTTAAGGATAGTTCATGAATTGATCACTTGTTGCTCAGAATCATTAGTATAAGTAGGTAGGAAATAGTTTGAAGTCATTTTTCATAGACTTAGCTGTCCAGTGTTGAAAATGTTTCTTCATAAAAATGTTGAAAAGAGTAAGGAATTTTTTTTACTATTATTCTGCTGCACATATTCTGATGCCATGTGTCTGTGCTTAACTAAGACCCTGTAAAACATGTTTAGTGGGGACTGTTTGATATAGTCGCCCTCTCCATTCATCTATTTGCCTGATTTTTTCAGTTTCCCTTTCTGGATTTTACTACTAAATTAGAAAGCACTGGTTATGTAATAAGTTACTACATTGCTTTGGTTGGGTAAAAATGAGAGTTTATATTTTTCTTATTTCTTATTTTCTTAACTCTTAACTCCTGCTGAGGTCATAACAACCTCAGTCTAAACTCTGTGTCCATCATACTGTTAAGTTAAACAAATGGGTGGTGGGGGTGGGAAGGGTAATACAGTCCTCCATTGCCTACCAGTAGGAGAGTCCAAACAGAACACTCTTTTGAGTAGCAATTATTTAATTTGCCCAGTCAAGGCACCGTGTTTATATACTATTTCACATTGAATTTGATTATGCCCTACAGACCTGGCTGGTCAAGGATTTGATATACACATATTGGCTTGGGATTCGAGCTTTCTTTTTTATTTAAATAAAAATTTATATATATTATATATATACATATATACATAGCTATATCTGTATATATATTGGGTATGTTTTAAGGATTTTTTCGCATGAGCGCAGCTGTTGCGATAAATTGACCGATTGGGAGGTGGTAGAAGCACTGAATGAAGGTGAGGCTTTTTTTTTTTTTTTTTTTCAATTTTCTTATACATTTTTCTTCCTTAAAAAAAAAAAATATATATATATATGCTTTTGCTTTTTTTTTTTTTTTGGGCTTCTATTTGCTTTTTGACTTTTACTTAAAACCCTTTTACATTTCCACTTTAAATGCCTATTGTTCATTGGGAGAAGGAAAGAAACTTTTGTATGTCTGACACAGTCCCAAGATTTTTGATTTCTCTGCATAACTGTAAAAGGCAACATTATTGGCCTCCAACCTTTTTTTTTTTTTTTTTTTGAGAGGGAGTCTCCTATCACCAGGCTGGAGTGTAGTGGGTCGATCTTGGCTCACTGCAACCTCCGCCTCCCGGGTTCAAGCGATTCTCTTGCCTCAGCCTCCCGAGTAGCTAGGACTACAGGCATGCGCCACCACATCCAGCTAATTTTTGTACTACAACCTTCTTATAGGCAGATTTGGACCGATCTTCTCCTTTGGATGTGTCAGATCATCCTAAATTTTAGAAGCAGTTGATTCACTTTGGAATTCAGAATGATTCTTGTATTAGAAGATCATTTGGGGGTATTAATTTTTGTTTAAGTTTAGAATAAAAGTAAAGATTCCTTTTGGGTATCAGTTGAAACCCTTTAGTAACTCAATTTCTGTTGTTCTTATTTCCTTTAAATACACTTTTTCTTGGCTTTCACCTTTTTGATTCTGTGAAGTAGGCAGGAGCAGGGATTAATTTATTCAGTATTCCTGTTCTGAAGAAAACCAGAAAAGTCACTGTATAAACTTGACTTAAAATAGTATCTTTCTCTTTTCATGTATTTTCATTTGGGGGAAAAAAATCTCTTTAATTGTAACCTGAATTCGAGCTGTACCCCTCCATGGTCCTACACTTGAGCTAATCTGGTTGGGTAGAAAGGCAGAAGAATGGTATATTGTCCCATTGTGCCTATAATGTATTTTAAATTGGTCATTCCACCTTACTTAATGGAAAATCTTGCAGTTTTCCTAGTGCTCATCAGCAGTTTTAGGTATTCACTAACACCCCGAAATTTTTTTTTTTTCCTTTTCCTTTTCTCTGTGATATCATGAGCCTGTAAGGACAAATGGCATATTTGGGCATAACTGCTTGACTCTGTAACTACTTTTAAAAATCAATATCTAAAAGGTATTAATTTCTTCTGGCTTTTTAATTTTGTTTTTTTAGAGACAAAGATGAAACCAGATAGGAAATATAGTTTCTATGTTTTCTACTTATTACAATATTAGTTTCTTCTAAATATTACTTTATTTGTATTTCACTAAGTTCAAAAGCAAAAATTGGATATCTGAGATGAACAATTTTGAATGGGTTAAGGTAGGAGTAATAAGCATTGTGTTCTCTCATATATAGGTAAGGGAATTTTATTTATAGTGAGAAATATAAAAGTACTTTGACATACTGTTTTTTCAAGGAGTCTCTAGAAAAGGGTAGAAGAACTGAGAATGAGACATCTAGATTCCATTTCTGGTTTATATGTAGCTCTTTTGCCTAATTTATATATAATTTTGTCACAAGATAAGTCCAGTAACTATCCTGTCTTAGATAATCTGCAGAGGCTGAAGTGACCAAAGATCCATTCCTTATTACTTTTCTAATTAAAAGAAGAGATAGCTAGATTTCTAGTAATATTATTCTAGATATTGATAAGACACTGTTCCTAATGCCAACTACAAATATTCAGTTACTCAGAATGTATTTAAAAAATTGTTTGGTACAGCATTAATGTTGGTGATTCCTTTCTCCCATCTTATTTCCCTTCCCTTCTATTCTTTCCCATGTATTTCTTTTGCCTAAAAGAACATTGGTATGATTCTCATTTGCTACTTTGAGTATATAACTCCATCAGACTTTCCAGAGTTCTTCAGGGATGGAGCTCAAAGTTCACATTTTTCCATAAATGTCTTTTTTTTTTCTTGACCTTTTTCCACCCTGTAATTTCCCCTTGACTTACCCACTGCCCTCCCCAATCTGCAAAAGTGACAGTTTGCTGCCTCAAAACAGAGCATTCAAATGAATTCGCTTAGCCAATAACTTCTGTGAAGTTGCCTTTTCTAATGGTGTTATTACTCAGTGATGCACAAATGTGGTATTTGCCCTACTGGTAGGCAAACAAAGGTCTGGTTAAGAATGGTAACCTGCTGTTTTCTTTAAAGGAGAGCCAAAGACTTGTGCTTTACTCTGTTTTGGTTTTGGGGGAAGTAGTAGCCATTTTGATCATGAAACGTTTTAGTATTTGTGAGTTGGTTGTACTGTGTAAGTAGATTTATCTAAAGTTAACTGTTAAAGTTAGCTAGCCTTATAAGATGTAAAAGTAATGAAAATTCATCAGTTTCTCTAAGCCAGTGAATGTCATCTTTTATAATGTTGTGTATAAGCATTTGTGCCCACCCCAGCTTCTGCTATCACTGTGGTCAAGTCATGGGTCTGGGTAAAGGAATTCTAGAGTATGTGACTGGTGAGAAAAAACTAACTATAGTCAGTACATGTACAGATTGTTAAAATTCAAGAAAAAATATTTTCACTTAAAAAAAGGATCCGTCTCAGTAAAGAAGTATTCAGTTGCTGTCACTTATATGCAAATCGTGGTGGGTAGCAGTCTCACCATTTTTCTACTCTCTTTTTGCTCGTTTTAAGTAATTGAGTAAAAGTTTTATTTGTAAAATCTATCTGTAAAAAAGCACTTGTAACGATTTTATATGTCATTGAAAGGAATGGCCCAGTTACTTTTTAGGAGAGATTAATAACCTACCTGGAAATTAACTACAGTGTTTACTTAGATTTTTTCCCCCTAAAAAGAGTCTAAGTGTGTTAAATTTTTAATTGGTGATATGGTTACAGTGTTGCAAGGTGATCTCTTCCCCTGAAAAATCTGCCTATCCTTTAGAGCTACTAAACTAAAGCAAATTTTACTTTCATCATTAGCACCTGAACAAGCAAGCAATCTACTACTGTCATCATTTTACCTGAGTGCCCATTTTGCTGATCCACATTCATACCTTTCTACCTGCGACAGCTATGATTTTTATATTTATTTGTTGCTTCAGCTCAGGTTTATGAAATTTTCCTGCTGAAATGACTTATTGGGAGTTGTAGGTTGATTATAGTTACTATTAAACATTTTCTCAATTTAGCTTTTCTGAGCCACTTCAAAAAGAAAGCTGTTTTTGTCAAAAGGTACTATAATTGTAGCAAGTAAATCTTAAGATTTGAATTTTTAAGATTTTATTTCTGTGCTCACTAAAGATCTTTTCACAAGTAATAGATTATAATTGATAAGTAATACTAGCTATAGTGTTAATAAAGAATAAGACTGTCACCACCAGGAATAAGTAACACCATTTAATAATCTATTCCTAATAGGTATGTTTTCAATACTGCACTGAACAAAGTGGGTAAAGAGCCCTTTGAAATCCTTTTGTAATAAAGGGATTTACCTCACCACTGGAATCCTTGTTTTCAGAGCCTCTGGATTTTCAGCCAAACACTGAACTCTCCTAAACTTTATCCCTGAACAAAACATCCCTAGAGAACAAACTTTATTTTCACAAGAAAATAAGGCACAATAAGGGGGAAGAACTTAAACCTCAAGATAATATTGTGTCCAAAAATGTGTATTTAGAAAAATAAAATCCTGTGGAGTTTGTTATCCTAATGTTTATTTTATACTAGATAAGGTGACTTGTTTTCTTGTATTGAGGTCTTACTGTTTCAGATTTGTTTTTGTTTCTGTTCTAACTCTAAGCAGACAGAGCTCACAAGTCTTTGGCATCCATTTTAGGTTGTACACGCAGAGTCATCTTATAACTGGAAACTGTCAGGTGGTCCCCCACCCCAGTGAGTGTATGAAAGGGTCAAGAAAAAGATTGGAAACAAACTATTGGGGGAATAATTGGTTGCTTTATTATTAATTTTTTTTTTTGCCTGTTTTTTTTGTGTGTGTGTGTGTAATCACCATTTATTTGTGAAATCTTTCTCCAGTGATTGGTTGTCATTCTCATAATATCTGAACTACCCCATAAAATAGTTCTCTGATTTAAAAGCATTTAGCTTTTGCTTATTGTTTTTACATCCTCTATTCAACTAAGACGCTGTCCTGAGAATTATTTTTTCCAGATGGATCGTTGGCCTGAATTTTCACACTTCACCCCTGTTCATCCTTTTTCCTCTTCCTGCTTCCTGGGAATAAAAGGAACTTTTTTTTTTTTTAATTAATTAGTCCACGGGCCTCATTATCTTTCTTTATGATTAATCTATGACTTTTGGGTACAAGAACAATGGAAAAAGTGAATTAAGGTAATGAACAAAACCTTTCACCCACTTAAACATTTTCCAGTTTTGAGATTCCTCTTTGTGTGTGTGGTCTCTTCCCCTTGTCACCCCTTCTGCCCTTTTTCTCTGACTATGGTAATTTGGTCTTTAGGCTCATACCAGTCTCCCCGAGACATTCTGCAGTCATTATCACCTTTTTGGGTGGATTTTATTTTGTTTTATTTTGTTTTTTAAAAAAAAAATAACTTTAACATTGGTGCATATTTGCTTGGGATAGAGCTTGTGTAATTTACCAATCGTATTGATTGTAAGTGATTGTGCCCTGCAGAGGTATATTTAACAAGACAAAAATAATCTTGGTTAATAAAGGAGCCCATGAGATTTGAGTCAGGTTATAAGTGACTTTATGAAATCACTTACAGTTTTGGATAGACTTTAAATCTCCTTATAAATCAGTGGTAGATATACCATTTTTTAAAGTTTTCTTGCATTTTTTGTCTTTTATTGCCGCACCTCCCTATTCTTTCTTGCCTGCCTCCACCCACCTGTTTGGGGGAAAAAAAAATTGAGCCTTAAAGTGACAGCTGATTTTATAATTGCTGAATTTTGTGAAATTTTACTTTTTCCAAGTGTTTCCAACTTAGAGAAGTGAAGACAAATAGGTTGGAATGGTGAAGACAAATGGATTGGAATTTCACAAGCTGCGAATAATTCCTTAGGATCTGGCAAACTGTGAAGTCTTATTTGAAGACCTTATCTCCTGAGAGTTCTTTTGGAGTAGGAAAAAGAACCCTATTTGAAATAGACCATTTTTCTCTTGTTTTTAATCTGTTTAATATTTCTGATTTTTAAGCAGCTTTCAAAACAAGTGTGGTGGAAAAAAAGAAATAGTAGGAAGATGTTTAGGGTAGCAGAACTCTGGGTCTAAATAAGTACATGTTCCCACTTGTTGCTGATTTTTGAGAGTACTAGGGCCATTTTTTTCCAATTTTGTATTATTTGTTTGCATGTTTATATCAAAGATGCCCATTTTGTTAAAATGCTATTTCCTTTCTTTATTACCTGAAACTGACTCAGCCTCATGTTGCTCCTAATTAGTGTTTAAGGCTCCCATGAGTTGCAGATAAAAGGATTTATTTTAACAAGTAGAAGGAGGTGATTCACCTTTTGGATTGTAAATATATGAAAGTGTCTACAAGGTCTTTATCTGCTTTCTGTCAGCATTTATATTAAATGAGAAATTAATGAGGAATGTGTGTATTCTTTTTTGTGAATGAGTCTGAGCCATCTTACTCTAATCTTGAGATTACTTTCTTACACCTCTTTAATGGAGGGGGTTTTTTTAGGTGAAAAATAAAGAAATGGCTAATCTGCATGAGCAAACACATACTTGGAGTAGCCAGTTTGTGGACATCACAGGAATTAGTCCAATCTTAAACTATCGTCACATTCCTTCATTTGTCACACAGTTACTGCACATTAGGAGTGAGGGTAGTGGTTCTGAGATACTAGCATCAACTCAGTGAGACTGCATGGCTAACATCCAATGTCTTGGTTTTTATGGCTTCTCTGAAAATTAGGACCGTCTTTACTTGCCATGGTAACTTCCTGATGCAAAATGTTTTTTTGTCTTTCCATTCTTTTTTTTTTTTTTTTTTTTTTAATGTAGTCTTGCTCTGTTGCCCAAGCTGGAGTGCAGGGGCGGAATCTCAGCTCACTGCAGCCTCTGCCTCCCGGGTTCAAGCAATTCTCCTGCCTCAGTCTCCCAAGTAGCTGAGAATATAGGCCTACACCACCATGCCCAGCTAATTTTTATATTTTTAGTAGAGTTGGGGTTTCACCGTGTTGGCCAGGCTGGTCTTGAACTCCTGATGTCAAGCAATCTGCCTGCCTCAGCCTCCCAAAGTGCTGGGATTACAGGCATGAACTACTATTCCCAGCCTTGTCTTTCCATTCTTACTGACTTCTCCTGATTGTCCTGAAATCCCACCCATTAGTCATTCCTCGCAGTTAGTGGATATAAGTAAGTTTGTCTAATAGAGATCATACCTTAGTCAACACCTCAATGGTATGAAGAAGAAAAGGGAGGAGGTTTGGTGTGGTGGCTCATGTGTGTAGTCCCAGCTACTCAGGAGGCTGAGGCGGGAGGATTGCTTGAGTCCAGGAGATCAAAGCTACAATGAGCTATGATGCTTCATGGCACCACTACACCAGCCTGGGCAACGGAATGAGACTCTATTCTAGATTAAAAGAAATATAAGAAATACAAAAATGCAGCATGGGTGATTTTAGCAAATCAAATATACGAAGACTTTTGTATACAGGAAAATTTTATTATGTATTGGGCATTAGATGATACCAAGGAATGGCATTTTTGTTCAGTGTAAAACATGATTATGTAAGAAAACCCATTTTTTTAAATAAAGATGCAAAACTGACAATAGCTGCAATTTCCTTTAAAGTAGGAACTAAAATCTTTTAAAAAAGTAAATAATGCAGCCACGCACGGTGGCTCACGCCTTGTAATCCCAGCACTTTGGGAGGCTGAGGCAGGCGGATCACCTGAGGTCAGGAGTTTGAGACCAGCCTGGCCAACATGGTGAAACCCCGTCTCTACTAAAAAACAAAAAATACATGCAAAAATTAGCTGGGCATGGTGGCAGGCAGCTGCATGGGAGGCTGAGGAAGGAGAATCACTTGAACTCAGGAGGGGGAAGTTGCAGTGAGCCAAGATTGTGCCACTGCACTCCAGCCTGGGCAACGAAGAGTGAAACTCTGTCTCAAAAAAAAAAAAAAATCAATAATGCACATTACCAATGAAGGTTATTTACTCTTCCTACCAACAATTAGCGAGTAGGTGTCCACTGGTATATCTGACCTCAAGGCAAGGGACCGTAGTAAAGAAAGCCCAGGGTATGAGCAGTGGTAACTGCTGCAGCCATCCCTGAATGATTATAAATTCTGGACTGGGAATTACAAAACTAGCCCTGCCATCTTTATCAACTACCTAGGCCTACCCTGCTCATAAGCAATAGGGTACATTCTGACCTCTTGTGCTGAAACAAAAAAAAAAAAAATAGAAATTTGGTTTTTATGCCCATTAGTGCTTCAATCCCAATAACCAGCTAATCTTCAGTAGTTAATTAGTAAATCCCCTTGCCTTCCAGCAAGATGACTCATTCAGTAAGTGGCTGCCACCCTTATTTGGAACACCTACCATACAAAAAGTGGACTTGTCAAATACCCACTGAATACCCATTGAGTATTTGCTAAAGAAATGTATTGAGTACTTCCCATATGCACAGCCCTGTAGAGGACAAAGAGTTAGAAAATACTGGCTCCACCCTCAGTGAATTTTAATTCTGGAACTTGACAGAACACTAAACAGAATTACCAAAGAATTTTTCAACCACACTTGTCCTCAGAAGAGCAAGGAGCAGTGAGATGGTATCCAAGGAAGACTTAACCTTGCCTGGCTGGTCAGGCTTTCCTGAGGAAGTTGCATTGAAGATAAAACTTGAAAAATGGGGGAGGGGGAGAGAGGTGTGTGGGAGACAAGAGACTTGGTCAGAGAAAATAGAATGTGTGAATTCTCTAAGAGAAGAAAGCCTGAGGTGTGGAAACTGGAAGTTCATTAAGACTAGAGGAAAAGGAGTGAGACAGTGGCTTGAGATGCACAGCCAGATAGATCATGGAGGCCTGTGGACCGTGCTTAAGTGTTTGGATTTCATTCTGAAAGTAAAGGGAATGCAAAGAAAGGTAGTAAGCAGTGGAACGAAGGGCCCAGATTTATGCCTCTTGGGAGCTGATCATAATCCCAAAAGACAACCCCAAATATTGAAATTCTTAAAAAGGTCTGGGCGCGGTGGCTCGCCCCTGTAATCCCAGCACTTTGGGAGGCCGAGGCGGGCGGATCATGACGTCAGGAAATCGAGACCATCCCAGCTAACACGGTGAAACCCCGTCTCTACTAAAAATACAAAAAAAAAAAAAAAATTAGCCGGGCATGGTGGCGGGCGCCTGTAGTCCCAGCTACTCGGGAGGCTGAGGCAGGAGAATGGGTGAGCCCAGGAGGCGGAGCTTGCAGTCAGCCGAGATGGCGCCACTGCACTCCAACCTGGGCGACAGTGAGACTCCGTCTCAAAAAAAAAAAAAAAATTCTGAAAAAGTTCCAAAGATATAATTTTGGGAAAAAAACTTTAAATTCTTTAAAAGACTTTTATTTATTTATTTATTTATTTTCTTCAAGACGGAGTCTGGCTCTGTCGCCCAGGCTGAAGTGCAGTATTGTGATCTCAGCTCACTGCAACCTCCAGCTCCCGGGTTCAAGCTATTCTGCCTCAGCCTCCCGGGGCGCACGCCACCACCCCTGGCTAATTTTTGTATTTTTAGTAGAGACGAGGTTTCACCATGTTGGCCAGGATGGTCTCAGTCTCTTGTCCCTGTGATCTGCCCGTCTCGGCCTCCCAACGTGCTGGGATTACAGGCCTGAGCCACCGCGCCTGGCCCTATTTAAATTTTTAAAAGGAGATTTAGGGCCAGGAGCCGTGGCTCACGCCTGTAATCCCAGCACGCTGGAAGGCGGAGGCGGACGGATCATCTGAGGTCGGGAGTTTGAGACCAGCCTGGCCAACTTGGTGAAACCCCGTCTCTACTAAAAATACAAAATTAGCAGGAAATAGTGGCACATTCCTGTAGTCCCAGCTACTCAGGAGGCTGAGGCAGGAGAATCGCTTGACTCGGGAGGCGGAGGTCACAGTGAGCTGAGATCATGCCACTGCACTCCAGTCTGGGCGACAGAGCGAGACTCCGTCTCAAAAAGAAAAAAAAAAAAGGAGAAACAGGAAAACACGACAGCCTGGGCAACAGTAAGACCTGTCTCTACTAAGTGTGGTGCATCCCTGTAGTCCCAGCCACTTGGGTGACTGAGGCCAGAGGATCACTGAGCCCAGGAGATGGAAGCTGCAGTGAGCTATGATCACATCATCACACCAGTGCACACTAGCCTGAGCGATAGACTTGAGACCCCGTCTCAAAAAGAAAAAAAAAAGACAATACTTCATAGGTCAATTTACATAATAAAATAGGCAATGATATATTTTTATTTAACAAACACGGATATAATAACAGTCTCATGGATGTAACAGTTAAGAGCAGACAAACCATGTTTATAAGTAGGTCAAAAAGCAAAATGTATAAACGCATATCACTGTGGATGGTTATGCACCCAGCATTATAATCGCAGTCATATGAAATATAGTGGCAGACGACTCTAAGAGTTGACAAAATCAATCAAAAACTACAATGAGCTGGGTGCAGTCGCTCACATCAGTAATCCCAGCACTTTGGGAGGTTGAGGCAGCTGGAACACTTGAACCCAGGAGTTAGATACCAGTGTGGGCAACATAAGGAGACCTCGTCTCCATAAAAAATAGAAAAATTAGCTGGTCGTGATGATTTGCGCCTATAGTTCCAGCTACTGGGGAGGCTGACGCAGGAGGATTGCTTGAGCCCAGGAGGTCGAGGCTACAGTGAGCCGTGATTGTGCCACTGCACTCCAGTCTAGGTGACAGAGTGAGACCCTGCTTCAAACACACACACACAATGGGTCACCACTGCACATACAGCTGCCCCAGAAGCTGAGATCTTGAGAAATTTCACCTTTCATAAATACAGATGTACAAGAAAACCTCTTCCTTTATCAAAGAAGTTTCAACAGTTTTACATTGAGAACCAGGGAAGTGAGAGCCTCAAGACCTAGAGGGTCTCTGGTTTAAGTCCTGGAGTCCAAAGGCCTGTGAGCTTGAAGTGTTTTTTTGTTTTTTTGATTTTTTTTTTGAGACAGAGTCTTGCTCTGTCGCCAGGTGGACTGCAGTGGTGCCATCTCAGCTCACTGCAACCTCCACCTCCCAGGTTCAAGCAATTCTCCTGCCTCAGCCTCCTGAGTAGCTGGGACTAGAGGCGCCCACCACCACGCCCAGCTAATTTTTGTATGTTTTTTTAGCAGAGATAGGGTTTCAGCATGTTGGCCAGGATAGTCTCAATATCTTGATATCGTGATCCGCCCCCCTCGGCCTCCCAAAGTGCTGGGACTACAGGCGTGAGCCACCGCACTCAGCTGAGCTTGAAGTTCTAATGTCCAAGGAAGCAGAAGAAAAGTCTGTCACGGCTCTCAGAGACTTCACCTAGTCCACTCAGACTCACAGACAAATGTCCTTGGGAAACACCCTCCCAGACACACCCAAAATAATG